AAAGGAAGATTATTCCAATCACATGGAGCCTTAAAACCAAAAGCATGTTACCCTACCTCTCTTTTCACTCTAGGAATAACAAAAAAGAGCTGGTCATTATGCCACAGGCCGTAAAGTGAATTATAGGGAATTAAGTGTATTTTAAGATAATCCAGATAATTAAAGTAAAAAGTTTTAAAAATGAACTGAAACCAGTGAAACTGTCTCCTGACAGCAGGTGCGAACCAGGACAACTGTCGATACATCACACTTCTATGTGTCCTAAATGGACAATGAAGAACAAAACGACAGAGACTATTATAAGCAACATCAATAGAGTGCAAGCAGGAGGATGAAGTGTTCTGATAGATAATGTCAGCATAGTCCAGAATAGGCAGAAGCAGCTATGTGGCGATTATTTTCCTAACCAGAAAGTTAAAACAATTAACAGCTTGATAGAGGATTTTAAGACGAAAATTGACTTTTTTGTAGTTGATTGTATTTGTGTTTTAAAGGATAAATCAGGTTCCAGCCAAACACCAAGATATTTTATGGTCTCCAGAGGAGAGGAGTCGAGAAAACAAAGCTTAAGGTTTTTTCGCCAATATCTAGGGCTTTCTTATGAAACAGTAAGGAATATGATTTTGACTTATCAAGGTGAAGTTTATTGGCCAACAGCCACTGCTGAATAGAATTAAAGTATTTTTGTAGCGAAAAATGCATCTCAGTGATAGTTGGCTTACTACAATAAATAACTGTCATCAGCATAAAGATGAATATTACAGTCTATGCAGCACAGGGGCATATCATTAACATAAGTAGAAAACAATAAAGTTCCCAAGAAAGAACCTTGAGGGATGCCTTTAAAAAAGACAATATTCAGTTATTTTTGTTTTTGTCTCAAATGTTATTGTTTAAGACTTTTAAAAAGTGCCTGATGCTGTTTCAAATAAATATTCACAAGAAGTTTTAGAATTTATCGTTAAAAGATGGTAAGCCTCAGTAATGTACTTACACAGTGAAAGTGTTATTCATAAAAAAATTAATTCTTCTATTCTTTTTAAATAAATGTATTTATTGGCTTTAATATTTTGTCTTGATTGAAGAAGAGAAATGTATGGTTTGTGTGAACATTAATGTAATTAATTAAGAAAGTGGTCTTCCCAGGGAGCACAAGAGGGGCAATCCAACAATATTACAGGGGAAGCTATGGCCCCCCTGGCCACCCCTTAGGTCCACCACTGATGCCTGTGTGCATACTGAATCCACTTTGTTCTACTGGAAAAATTACGTATAGAATGCCAGAATTTGTACGTCACACAAATAAATGCTATTTTATTTTTGAAAAATAAATAAATTCCCCCAAATTATTCCCAAACTGACTCTATTCTTAGTTCTCTATAAACTATCCAAGCGTTCTACAATCTTATCTTATCTCTATTGATTTTTGTGTTGTCTGTGTCTTCCACATTAGTATAATAAACAAAGATCAGACAGATACATAAGCAAGTGGTATGTAAAGGTGACACTGCCACATGGGCGATTAGACATGAAAAGAAAAGAGACAAAGCGAAAAATCTTTTGGGATTCTCACTGCTATCATGGCTGATATAAAAGGATCTCATATTCCATGGCTGGGGTGTCATGAGCTCTGCATGTGGGAGTGGGCCTCAGAAGGATTACAGTAAAAGTAATCACAATACATAAATATGAGATGCCTTTCTTTCAGGAGAGCGCTCTTGATTTGCCACATTCTATGTTTGTCCATCATCATCTGTCTATCATCTTTTCAGCGGAGCGTAGCATCAGTCTTTGTCCATTTAAGCCTCCACTGATCACAGCTGCTTCCTCCTCCTGCAGTTCCATCTGAGATAATGTTTTCCTTAAAATGTTGTGGTTTATTTTTTGCTGTTTTTATGCAGAACTGGAAAAATGAGTCACAAAGAGGAGGTTTTATACCAAAGTAAGTATTTGGGCCAAAGCCACAGTGACTAGATGTAGAGATTCTGGTCGTGAAAGAAATGTTTATTTTTTGCATTCTTAATGTGCTTTCCTGCACATTTTGAATGCATTTAATTTTATTCACGTTTGCATCCAGTTATTGATTGTATCCTTTGCACTTTTAAAATTGATCAGTCCATGAAATCGGAGAGGGAACGTAAATACTGAGTATTAAAAACACAGACTGAAGCCAGATTTTTACTGATATTCTGGTGAGTCTCATTCCACATGAACCAGGATGTCGACCAATTTTATGAAAGCATGTTGGCTCTTGTAGTTTTGGTGCTACAGGGTGTGGTGTGTAATGCCCAAAAGGGTCAATTTTCACCTATATATTGACCAACATGTTCACCTTTCATCTACAGCATAAATCCACTTTCTATTTGGCCTTCTAAATCCAGAAGGTTCTGCTCAGCACGTGATGACATTCCATGAAGATAAAACATTCAAATAAACATTCTCTCCCAAGGTTCCTGCACTCTCTGTGAAAGCCAGTCGTCAACATTCTTCACTCTGAATATGTGAAGACTCCACGATGTTATAGTTATAAGTTAAATACTCATTTGTGATGAATAAGCAAGATTTTTAAATCAAAGGGTTGAATAATCTCTGCTTAAATCAATGAATTTGAAATGAATATTGTTCTTACAATGATCCATTAATATCACAAACCACTATGTGTTTGATTTCAGGTTAATATGCACTTCACATAGGAGTTTTAAAGATTCTTATTCACAGTGTTAAGAATCTTGTATCTGAAGGAAGGCGTGGCTTTCTGAGGGATGTTGGTAAATACTCAGAAACGTGTCAAATTCTGATTGGCCAAACTTGGCCAGAAATCATAGCAAAGTAGTTTAATAAAACAAGAATTACTTCCCGAGTAATTCAGTTTCTCGCTGACCCTCGAACCGGTCAATTCGGGAAAGAAGCCTTTTTGAAACCATCCTCTCCTTTGACCTTCTGTCAAAACCTCTCTGCAACGCTGCGGCTGATACCAGACAACCGGCTCTTCTACGAGCCAAGCAAACGGCAACCTTAGACACAAATAAGCATTCCAGCTTCCTGCCTTCACCTCAAGGGTTCTCAGACTGGACGGGTCTTATCGGAGCTATCTACGGGTTCCTGATATCAGAGGTTCACTCCACCAGCAGTGACCATCAACCCCCGGATCGAACGAGAACCACCACACCAAGGGTGCGTGGACTTAGCACGACAGATTGCGTCTGATGCTGTTTTTAATAAACAACTCTCTAGTTTAGAACAAACAACAAAGTCTTTTACATCCGGATTTCACAATTTCTCTCAGATACAAAGAACGGTTGCTACAACATCTAGCTTCCATCACAACACCTCACCACATCTCATTATTCATATCTTGTCATGTATAAATTATTAGTTAAGGAAAAATAATTTAATTCATTTTATAAACTATATACTGACTCTGTCTGATTAAACATTCAAAGATCAATCAGGTTGATATTTCATATTTATATGGAATCATCACATCTTATTGGTCATTATTAATATGTATTAATTGCTACAGGTGTCAGATCAAGCGTGACTTCACAGTAAACAAACATGGCACCTCGCTTTCTGATTGGCTATACGACGCATTATTTTGCCCCCAAAAATCTAATCAAGAAAATCTAAACGTTTAAATGGCCATTATGTATAGAAGCCAGGACATACATGTGATCAAAGCTGTCCAGAAGTGCACTCAAGCAGGCCAGAGCACTCTTCCTACACCACACACATCAGGAATAACTGACAAAAGTACTTTTGAAGTTACTCTGGTAATCGGGTGTGTCTTAAAGAGCAGGTTCACTGAGAAACCCTTTTTTACTTATTCTTTTTGAAAAAGATCATTCACTCTGTGTTTAACATGCAGACTGAGCGTGACAGTAGTCTTCTACCCCCTTCTCTGACATTAGCCTCTGATAGAAATTAAACGTAAGAACGCTCGGTTCAGAAAAGCCTGACAGATCTATGTCAGTTAGACATAACTGTCACTTAACGTTCATGAACTAACTCATCTTAGCTTGTGACGAGGAAGGCTGTTGTTGGTTAAGCGTCCAGGTAGCAGCAGAGAACATCTCGACTAGTAGAAGCTAACTGTTAGCATTAGCAACTCCACCAAACAGCAGAACTCCTCCAGGCTAGTGTTATTTGTGGACATAAAACATAAACGTTGCAACGTTGCGGAGTCAGTGGTAGATCCATGTTGATGTTTGCCAATCCAAAGTGAGATGTCCACATATCAGGAAGGATTTCCAAATATCAGGAAATAAGAATCCAAATCCTTGTCGCCTGAAGCTACTTTCTCCTCCGGCTGACGTCTACAACCTGAAATAGGAGCATCATTGCCTTTTGTCCCCAGAGAATGACAAGGCTAACAACTCATTGGGGGTAGGGAGGAGGGGTATTCATAGGTAGTTTCAGCTCGTTAAGCAACAAAAGACAGCTAAAGTTTATAAGCTTGACTCTCCCATATTCCAGTAAGATTTGACAAAAGCTCCTTGGATAAGAAGCGATAGGTCTTCAAGAAACCAAAGAAGTCCAGTCACCTTCATTCGACCCCTTTGGAATTAACGTGACCTGGATGAGAGAACCTTCACCAGCAGACTTACACGGCACTCATTCCTCTGCAAATGTATTAAAAATATGAGTAAACTTATTCTTTAAGATTGTCAGAGGAGGAGAATAGGCCACAGACATATGACTGTGCAACTTGCTTAGAGAGAAAGCTGACTGCATACTGTCCCCATCATGTAAAACTGCAATTTTCATCATTCTCTTACGCGCCCTAGTGGTCAATACTTGAGTCCGCACATGAAACTCGCCAGTAGTGCCATGGTATTGTACTGATTAACATAAAGTACTAGAAACACTGTAGAATGGTCACCCCCGGCACTACTGACCACAAAAACACAATAATGTTTCCAAAATCTGCTGCATGAACCTCAGGTAAAAAATTAAATGCCAAGTGTGACCGGTGCCCGGTGAGGGTTCTTCTTACTCACTTGCCGTCGAAGGGGTTTTTTCCGGGAACAGCGTGTGTGCTCTCCCTGCCCACCAGGAAGCGCACTCGGTCATAGAACGTCTGCAGGTTGCTATGCGCAGAGGACATCTGTGTTTCTTGGATGATGTCCAGAGGATCGGGCGAACCCACGCACAATGAAGTAGTGTGACAGGTTGCCTGAAGACAGCAGTCTGGATCCATGCAGTCCACCAGGCCATCTGAGAAGGTTAAACACAAACAGGTTCATTAAACAGCAGCGAGAACTCTCACCTGGCAGCAGACGCTAAGGTTGGAAACTCTGGAAAACGTTGAGAGGAAAAATCACAAGCACAAATGCTTTCAGCAACCTTATTTATATTTGTTTTATCTGTACAAAGCTTTACTTTGTTCCTGTAAAGAAAATGTTTTGGCCCTAGCTCAATCATTTGGATTGTTGCTAAGCTACAGAATGAATTTTAGAGGCTTATGAACAATAATGTGTTCACATCTTCAGTCATTTTCCTTAACTTTGCAGCAATAGTTCCTGAATTGATGCCACCTACCCACAATCCACCTCAGTTTCCTGCAGGCATTTACAAAATCTGCAGGTTTGGGTTAGCATAATTAAGTTTAAGCTCTTTTTGTACTTAAGAGGGTTGGTTCATCAGCTGGTTAACTTTCAGAAACGTACAATTGCACTAAAATAAACCAAATGTAGCATAAAAGGTTTAAAATCTGCATAAATGTGCTGCAAATGTAGGCAACGGCTCCAAGTGTTACTGGGTGCAAATAAACAGCTTTTAAATTTGAAAAGAAAGCCATTTGTTCACTCGGCGAGCCTCCCTGCAGTCTGGTGCTGTTCCAATTCCCAATCTTGACGATGTTTGTCTTTTGGTTTATTTAGTTCTGAATAGTATTTGCCTTCATTATTGGGGAAAAAAGATCTTTTGAATTTTTTTATAACATGCTGAAGACACAAAACTAGCTTAAAATTACAGTTTGTAGTCACCTGAAACTTCATGCATCACTGTATATTTCAATCATGAGGGAATTACAGCATCACTCGTGCCTCTCTATCAGCACATTCGATAACATCACAAAAACAAGGAAGAGTTGCTGTGCAATGCACTTTACTTCGCTGAAGTGGGTCACTGGACTCCCCAACCCTTTGCTTTCAGTTGCATATCTGGTCAGATGGGTGATAAAAATAAACCGTGCTGTCAGGAGTCAGTCAAATCCCAAGCAGCACCCTGCTTTTGCTGCTGAGAGCTGTGTGGCCCCTGCAAAGTGATGGAAGTCAAACTGCCTCTGTACAAATAAGGGAGGCTGGTGCATAGTTCAAGACGGAGAATCGGGTCTGGAAAGAAGGAAGTTACATCTCCCGCTTGGCCTGAAGAGCGGTGCAGCCCCCTTGGCTGGCTCTGCTCAGGGCTAGTTAGAGGGAAAAACAAGGACTACCCCAGGGATCCGCTGCTGCTGAAGGCTCCAGGTGAAAAAGAAAATTTAGAAAAGACTGACAAAACCCTACCAAAGTCTCCAGATGAGTTCTTTCAGTAGTACTTTAAATGAGACCGCTCTGTTTTCTACACACAGGGAATAATTCGTCTTGTGCTCCTGAATTAATTACATTTAGCCAAAAACAAAAGAAAACAGACATTCACCTCTAAAAGTCATTATGCTTTAAAAAAGTGAGTTTTTGGTTTCTATTTAGCTATAATGTGTTTCGCCTTTATCCATTTCGTAATAAGCCGACGTTGCTGCATCTATATTTTTATGTTTTGTTCTGATATGTTTGGGATATTTTTAAGCTCACTTTATTCTTGTCTGTTCTGCCTTTTTTCCTGTTAAAAGCGAGTTTCCTCCTGGGAGTCGAGGCTCTGGAATCTGTGAGGTATCTTGCGACAGTTTCAATAGTTTTTGAATCTGTATAAATAAAATCAGAATGGCCTATATAAAAACACAACTGAGCCTGGAAAGCATGGAGCAGAATACCCCCAAGCCTTGGGGGGAGTCATTTTATTGCTAGATCTTGTCCCTGCCGGTACCTGGTCAGTGTCGGAAGCAATAGCGTCATCTCGTTTGTGATTTTTACCTCCGTCGTTGTCCTTGACATCACTGCAGGCAGTTTCCATTGAGGTGTCACAGCCAGTGCCCCTCCAGCCCAGCTGGCACACGCAGTACCAGCCACTGTTACCCAGAGTGCACCTACCATTTCCATTGCACAAACCAGGACAGCCCTCTGTGTAACATAAAACAGGACAAAGACAAATGTTAACACAAATTGTTAAGTCCATAAATATTAACGGGAATGTTAGCACATTTCTGAGGTGTTTTTGTTTAATTATACATAAATACTGTTGTAAATCCTTTGTTCGACAGTCAAAGTCTTCAAGAAGGAATAGGAGGAGGACTGAAAGGTGATGCGCAATACTAAATGTGCAATATTATATGCAATCTTGTAAACAGATGCAATATTATACTTGCCCTCAACATACAGTGTTAAGTACTGTTTTTTCCTCTCTCTTGCTTTGCCTACCGTCTTATTTCCTTTAACTTTTTTACCTACTATTTTCTACGGGGCAAATCACAGGTTTGATCACGATATGATATTTTCTCAATAGAGTGGATCACAATTTGATGTTTTTCTGTATCTCACATTCAGTCATACCATTTTGATTTAATTTGATATAAGATCCACTGATTAATACGAAACAATATTATTAGTGATTGAACACAACTATTTCTCAGGACATTCTCATCACTGGCGCTGCTAGCTTCAAAATAAAGCAATTTTCAAAGTAAAACTGAGTTTGACAAATAGGTATTGTATCTTTTTTTGCATTTTGGATCGGTTACCCTAAAATGGATGAATCAATGTAGACTGATGTATTTTTACACTCCTACTAACAACTGATAGAAGTTTTACAGCTACTAGATGTGTTGTTGTAGGAAACCGAATTTTCCAGAGAAACCTTTGTTATGGGATTAATGAAGGTTACTCAAGTCTGCATAGCTAGGTTTCTGAAGGAGAAGCAGCACTGATGTCCAACAGGACTGATAAGCTAACAGATAATCCATTTAGCTGCAGACTTAAAATGGCTTCAAAGTCCAAAATGCTATGAGAAAATAACGTTTTGTGTGTTATTTTTACAATAAAGGAAACAGGATTCTTTTTCTTGTTATAATATAGTTCTATGATCTAAAAACATACATTGCACCCACACAAAGTGATCTCAGTTTTATTTTTTTATTCTCGACTGTTTCAGTTTGTTCTAAAATTAGCTGTTTCAGGACTCTGTCACTGTAAGAAAAGCTGGCCACGCCCACCCATCCCCCACTCAGGCTGCTATAACCTGAGAAGCTCCGGAGCAGAGGCGCTGCTTCTCCAGCAGCAGCTCTGCCTGTCAGATCAGTGGTGTTTCTATGATCATTTCCAGTGAAAATCTATAATAATTTCCGCATTTGTGACACATTTAGAAATGGCTTGTTTTAGGTAAATAATTCCTGGAACAAAACACTGAAAGAAAACTGATGGATGGATTTTTTTTTCATATTTGATGTGTTCATAGAGGCAGTAGGGACCCTCATGTGAGCAGAAAAGAATGTAAATGGTGAACTTTGCAAAATATGCCCCCTTTAAACAATAATTTACATGTAATTTAATTTACTTAGAAGCATAATAATCAGCATAAGCAACAAAATACAACATGCCATCCGAAGATGTAATCTGATAAGAATTTCTTAATCTTTCTGCCAAAATAACTGAATGATGTGAAATTTTATGAGATAAATTTGAACCACCATTAAATCTGGCCGTTTATGGATTTGTAGAAACTCAGCTGCGCTGTTGTACATGACATGAATTAGATTTCATCAAACATAAGCTGTTCAGGAAGTCATCTACAAAATATTTATTACAAAATGGTCCAAATTTCCCATTAATGGATTGACAGCAACAGCACTTATCTCTCCAAATCACCAACCAGAAAAGTGCTTCTTTTTAATATTACAAAAACGATAGGCTGGTTAATGATGAGGGTTTGTCTTTAAAATATCTCTGATATCAAAAGAATAATACCAGGTATATATGTTTTAACCAGAAGGGAGCAGCTAAAGTTGATTAGTCCGATGCAGCATTTGTGAAGCTTTAATATCCCTTTGCAGTAAAATCAGATAAAAGGGATCTTCTAAATCAACATTCACTTATAACTACAGTAGATTGGCTCGTACATTTACCATTGTGGCTGTGGAATGAGAGCAGCAGTCTATATCCTGGTGCACTGTCATTTAATTGGATCATTTTTTTAATGGTCTTTTGGTTTTGAATCTCCATTTTTTTTCTTAAACTCAAAAAAAGCTTCTGCTTTCTGCAAAAACAAAGTGAGCTTTACTCTCGCTCCAAAAGGCAGTTATTACTTAAGAAATAGCTTTTATAGAGTTCCTAGCAATCAAAAAGATTCCACTCTTCAGGTAAAGAGTATGCTCCATAATAAACAAAAGGCAGAAGGCTAAATAAAGTGTTTTAGAATGAAACAGATAAGGTTGTGCTCAGCTGCTTTAAGCAGAGGTCACATGAATGTATTTCTGGGCGTGCAACCTCAGGGGATCTAAAGCAGGCTGCAGCCGACTGACAGGTGAAACACCTCATTGTTTCTCTTTGGATGGGTCCTCTCAGGGGCAGAGATCAGAAGATTTTCAAGCCAATAATTCCTCCGCTGACATTTATCTGTTACATTATGATATTATCCCCTTGCAGAGTCAAGAGGGTGAAATCTGCGGATATCAAACGCATAAGTCTGTCACAGATTGTGTTGTTAGCAGACTGCCTTGATAGAGAGAATGCTAAGCTGACCCATTTGATCAACTAAAGAGACAGGAGCAGCTGTCTCTACTGTACATTCTCACATCACACAGATAAAACAGGAGCAGAGAATAAAAGAGGAGGAAAGGAGGAGAGGCAGGTGAGCTGAACGGGAAAGTGAGGCGGGCCAATTCCACGATGGGCAGGAGTAAGGATGAGGAAATGACGCAACTCACAGCACAAAGGGAGAAGCAAAAATTCTCCATTTTCGCTTCAAAAGTAAGGATCCTCAAAAGTAGATGAAAGTTTTAGATTATTGGGGAAAATAGAACAAATTTAGATTTATTTAAAAGGCGACTGGATTATTTTTTTGGGTTTGAGGTTTCAGGTCTATGTGTCATGACTGAAAAAAAATGATTGTCCTGATAAAGAGTTATAAACTCATACTCAGCGTTTAAAGGCGTACTATGCAACATATTCATGTATTTAAATCATTTTCTTGAGCCAGTATGTGCTAAAGTGACCCTTTACAGGATTAATTAAATGTCCCTCAGACCCCACTGACCTCTGTGGCCAGAATACCGTTCTTGCAACTTCACCTGTTGGACATGCCAGCGCTGCAGTCTGCTTCCAGCCCATTTCCTGCATGTTTTAGATTCTAAACACAGCTGATTTGTGCAATTTAGGGATGAACCGCTCCTGCAGTAACTAATGAAGGCTGAGGAGAAATTTCAGTAGTTAGATTAAGGTGTTAAAACGACAAACACACAAGGAGGAGATACATTTAGCTTCTGGTTCTACTAAACAAACACTAGAGGGTGCTTAAAGCAAGCCAAAACTGCCAAGTGTGCCTTTATGAATCATTTAAAGGTGACAAGGAAAATATTTTTCAAGAAACTCTGATATATTCTAGCAGCAATGTGAAGTTTTTTCTAAAAGGGCACCATCTAGAGGTCGAAACAAGTATTACACCGTGAGCCCATCGTCCTGCTTTCGTGATTATCCACCTTATTTTTGAGTAGCCTCATGGAGAAACATTGATGCGAGCAACCTCCAGTAAAATACCGGAAGTGGCGCAAACCCATTGGTTTGTATTGTGAGGTTTTGTTGCTAGTAACAGTCTTTGGAACATTTGAAGAGGACTTAAAAAATATTTACCCCCAACAAATGTACTAAAGCGGCTCGGGAAGATGTTACGCTGTTCGTGCTTGTACTAACAACCACAGAAAATTCAATTTGTAGATACAAGAGCGATACTTACAACAATGCACCTCCAGAGTGAGAGAGTGTGTGGTTACGATTGTCGGTACGTTTTTTTTTAGACTGCTGTTATTAACCTAAAAGTGCATCCTGCTGTTTGTATTTCACCTGATGTAGAAACTAAAACCGAAAACTTGGTGATGATGGATTTAAGGCTCTGACTCGGCTCTACGTCTGCTTTGAAGTACATAAGATCGTGTCCCACCGCTTTCAACAAAGCACGGCCAACCTTATTACTATGTTGGTACTGATCAGCCTCGGAGCTTTTAAGACTTTTTATTGCCTCGCTTTTGGATGCGACTGAGTTCAGAAAGTAGCTAAAATGCTACTGTACGTTACCTTTGGCCAGACGTTAAGATTGTCCCTCTTTGCGTCAGTAGGCAGGACTGTAACGATGTCCCGTTAGAGCTGTGACATCTGGTGTTCCTGCATGCTTTCATACTCTAAAAGCCCATAAAAGGAGGATTTGCACAAAGGAATCACATTGTCTCAATGTAAACAAATGTGGGACTGGAAGTAGCTTGCGTCTTTCCCGCAAAGCATGATGGAACGCAGGAATAAGGTGGATAGCTGTAAGCAACGCCTCTCGTTTGTGAAAGCTCACCTCTAGTCAGCCAGCAGAGCTAAAACACGTTTTTTACATTATGCTTTTCACATTTTGCTGTTTATTTATGTGTGGAGTTTTTCAATAATTTGAGTGAAATATATCAAACTCCATGGACATTACGTCAAGAGACAACCAAGTCCAATTATTTAATTGTATTGTAGTTTGGTCCAGATTACGTTAGGTCAAAATCGAAATAATAACAATAATGATTTATTTTCTTTAAAATTGCACCAAAACAAAAAAAAAACCTTCACTGATGAAGTCAATTAAAGATTGAGCCTCCTGGACGTGCTAGATGTTGCTTTATCTGACGTCCCCCTTTCAATTGATCTTTGCATTTAATTGAAGAATTAACATGTTTTATTTATTTTATTCTAGACAATAAATAGATTACAATGGGCTAGTTATTTATTCCTTTTTTATCCCATGTGCAGCCTGTTTCGAGCAAATCGTACAAAACAATGGTAGTTAGACCATTGGAGAAGAGGCGATGAAGAAGCTCATAGTGTTTGTCATGAAGATAATAAAGATCCACTCTCTGTTGGCATTGTTCCAACTTAATTGGCAGCACTTCCAGAGAGGAGCCCCTGCAGAGCCCTGCCCAAGCCTGCCTGAAACGACTGCAGACGTCGGGCTGCAAATATTCTAAGAAACTCCTCTGGCAACCACTCCATACACCAGGTGGTCCATAACCAAGGACACAGCGAGAGCGAAGGGGGTGAGGGGGATGGTGGCAGGCAGGCAGGGCTGCAGCAAAGCCTCAATCCGCTGCTTGCACAGCACCAAGCAGACCCTTAACTCTTTTAATTAGAGAGGATGCGACCTCAGCACCTATCGGGCTCTGCACACGGCTGCACCCTCATTTATAATTCATGTCACAGGTTATGAATCCCCTTTCCCAACATCCCCCAACCGAGAAAACAAGAATACATACAAACCAAACATCAGATGTTAAAAAACTAGACTCAACAGGTGTGAAGGTGCTAAGTGGAAAATACTATGGAGACAAAGAAAAAGGGAATGAGAGGGGAGGATCTGTAGAATGAGTTACTTTGGAAGAGATATGTGTTTGGACTGGTCTTGTGTGTGTGTGTGTGTGTGTGTGTGTGTGTGTGTGTGTGTGTGTGTGTGTGTGTGTGTGTGCGTGCGTGCGTGCGTGTGTGTGTGTGTGTGTCTATGTGTGTGCGTGCGTGCGTGCATGTGTGTGTGTGTTTGTGTGTGTGTCTATGTGTGTGCGTGCGTGCGTGCATGTGTGTGTGTGTGTGTGTGTGTGTGTGTGTGTGTGTGTGTGTGTGCGTGCTGAATGGATTTACAATGGGTTAAGAGCAAAATACATTGAAGGAGGAATGCCGTACCTTTCACTACCTTATCCAGATAGTGAGCTTGAGAGATAAAAGACAAGACATATAAGGAAGGTTTGAACAGTGCCACTTCCATGAAAGGATAGCAGGGCAGTGTGTTAGTTCACATCACAAAAAGTAAAGTTTATTAAAGACCAAGTTCACTCATTTTTTAAATTCATTTGCAGTTGTCTCTAGTATGAAGGAATGCCCTGTGAGTCGATCTTGGGTGGGAAAAAGCTCTGACGCTTCTAGAAGTTAGCCGCAGCAAAAGGAGGCAGACAACGACAGGATTTGGTTTTCTTTCCTGATATTTGAACATCTTTCCTTTGATTGGCTAACAGCAATGCGACTCTACCACTGAGTCAGTTTGCGCTGACACATTGATGTTTTATCTCCACAAATAACACAAGCCTGGAGGAATTCTGCTGTGTTGTGGAGTTGCTAATGCTAATAGTTAGCTACTACTAGCCGGGACGTGCTTTGCTCTCTCCTGGATGCTAAAACAACAGCTTTTCCTGTCGATGTCCATGAATGCTAATTTACATCGTGGTGTAGATCTGTGCGGCTTTTCTATACCAAGCATTTCCCCGTCTATTTTCTTTCAATGGCTAATGCAGGAAATTGGGGTAGAACACTATTTTCATGTTGAGCCGGCATGTAAAACTCAGAGTGACCGGTTGTATTTCATAAATACTAATTTAAAAATAGATTTTCAGTGAACTTGCTCTTTAAAAACAACAAAAATAAGAAAAAATACCCATGAAGCATTTTACATGCATGCATTACAAGCAGCACATTAAACACAGTCCAACACAGAGAACAGGGATGGAGACGGAAAGCTGACAGGGGAAACAAAGAGGAAGAGAGAAATCCAGAAAGATCAGACACAAAACTTCAATTTTTAGTCTGTTCTTGTTTATGAAATGTTGGGATTGGTTAAATATCTCCAGGGAGACGTTCAAAAGCACCACGACTGATGCACATATTCTGGTTCTTAAATCTCTAACTGCACAGGATGGAGGTCAGGATGTTCAACAAAGGGCTCTTTTAATCTTGACACACATCTGCAGAAGATGAGGTCACACAAGTCGCTGCCAAGAGTGGGGACCAAAACAGACCTCATGCATTCCACAGCGTCGGGCTTGGGGTCAACACGGAGCTCTCAGTAATGAAAATTGATTCAAATTGAGAGCTTTGGCATCTTAATGGAAGACACAGAGGAATATTCTTGTTGAACAGAGATTTCAATATGGCCTTTATAAAGAACCCATCAATAATGTACGGCCAGAGTATAAAACATTCACAAACTGAGTCGAGGCTTCATGCTCAGGCAGCGCTGCTTCGAGACATAACTGAGAATACGGCAAGCAAAATTATCCTCGTCGGTTTGCAGGGTCTCCTAAGAATTCTCAGGTATTTTGTCCTGGTTTTCTTTTGCCTAAAATGTGTGGGTGAGGTACAGATTTGTATTCACAGAGTCATCGTGATACCAAGGCTGCTATTTCCTCTCTGATGTTGGAGTGGTATCGTAGAATTCTAAAATGCAGGTCACAAATGAGCAGTGACACAACTTTCTTATCTTTACTAAAAAGAGCTAAATGTGTGGGTAACACCAAACAAAATATGTGCCTTTAATGTTCTCCTGTTAGTATTCAAGCATGTGTGGACCTTCCACACATTACTGAGGTCTGTGTTTGTGTAAAAAAGGTCATTTTTAAATTTATACTTAAAGTAACACTAAATAGTTTTAGCTGTATTGCTAGCAGTTAGCTTTTTCAGTTCGCCGAGCTAAAGGAGACGTAATATCATGGACTGATGGTGACCTGGCTTTGTTGCTACTTGACTTGTATGTAATAGTACTTTTTGTCAAACAGTGTGGAGTCTTTTACTTTGTGGTTTATTTTAGTGATAGCTGACTCATGTTAGAGTTAGCTCGTTATTAGTGCTGCAGGAGGGTTGTTTACGTAAACAATTGTAAAAGCTGTTTCATGAACCAAGTTATAAATAAACAGCAGTTAGCAAATTAATAAACAAAAAAAATGACGTAAAGAAAAACACAACATGACAAATTTGCCATCACATCCATTGGTTTGGTTCAGTTTTGATAGAAATTACATAAAAATCTGATTATCATTTTACATTTAAGAAAATCAAGACTCAGATCAGCCATCAGTCATTCAATATATTTTCATGCCATTATTTTAAAGGCAGGCATTTTCAAAAGACACATCCCAGTTAGAGGTCAACTACTGCTTAGTTAACAATAAAATAATAAACACAAGTTCTGAAATAAGTACATAAAAATAAAGGTGATTACCCTATTTACTGGCAGGGATGAAACTTATTTGGGAATTCTGCAATTCTTTAGAAACGGTGTGGAGTTAATTTAGCTTTGGGTTGTGTTATTTGCCTTTATGTATAAAAACATGTAAATGCCACTTAAATTAACACTGGAGCTATTAATAGGAAAAAGTGACAACCTCGTTTATTCTATTTAGGGTCAACATGACTTTTGGTCACTTCTTAACTTTTAGCTACTTGTTAGAACAAACACAGGGGTGGGGGGTTGACCTGCTCACAATGACTCACATGTCAGCATTTGAACATAATAGTAAATGGAAAAGGGAGCAAAGAAAGAGATGAGGGAAAGGATGAGTAAAATGAAAAGACACCTTAGCACATTCCCACATTAAAATGCATGAAGGCAAGCCTCAGATCCTTGAGTAAACCTGTTCATGCTTTACCGAGTTGCACAAATTCAATTAAGCATGCTTTCCTCTCCTTTCTCCAACTGGATGCTTCCCCTCTCACCCAACACTTCCGTCATACACACACAGGCAGAGTGGCAGCCTGTATCCTTTTGTTGGTTTCCACCCCCCTTCACCAAAATGCAGACATACACACCCAACCAGTCCCCCACCAACAACCAAAGCTTTCTCTCCTCCTACCAATGGTGCAGTGTTCGCCGTTCCAACCGGGACTGCATTCACATTTGCCATCCTTGCATGTGCCATGCTCGTTGCAGCGCGGGTGACACGCCCTCTGGTCACACCCGGCACCCATCCAGCCGTCGTCACAGCGACAGGTGCCCGAAACACAAACGCCATGGCCACCACAGTCCGCTGCACAAATCTCTGTGGGAGACAGGAACACAGGGAAAGACAAAAAAAAAGGAATGGGGGAAGACAGACGAAAAAAGGGAGGGGGTCAGGGGGACGGGATGGAGAAGGAAGACGAGGCGGTGATGGGACAAGGCAACAAGGGTGGAAAAAAAGAGACAAATCCAGAAGTTATTGTCAGAGAAAGGAGGACACGCTCCACTACCTTGTCTGATGGGAGCTGAAAAGAAATTCCAGCACCTCATAGGGGCAATCCTTTTTGACAATACAAATCTAATAAGTCCATTACCAGGAAAAGACAAGGTTTGTGGTGGCCTTAGCAGACTTACTCTTTCCCTCACCCTTTTTCCTCTTCGTCAATTCCCCTCTTTGTACCACAAAAGAGGTAGAGAAGAAAAAACGTAGCTAGGACTATAAAAGTGACCAGATCTTCAGCACTCCATTAAGCACAGCCATCAGTAATAAGTTGTAAATGTTATTTCTTTAACTTAATACACAGTTCACGATTTCTCGACATGTTCTGCTGTGGGTCGGACGCCGGAGGTACAAATCTAGAGACCGATTTATGGCATAGGATTTCAATAGGCTGTTTTTATTCTCGTTAAGTGCTGTCTACCAGAGGAAGACGTGAATTCATGGATTGGAGTGAAATGAGAGACGGAGCTGAAGTAGAGCCTGGCTGAGGCTTTTGTGTGGCGACTGAAAGACCCCCCTGGCTGGGTGTGATAGAGCCCGGACATTACCCTCATCCCATGAGCTCAAGAGAGAGCACGACAAGCTCAAAGACATTAAACACTGACAGATTACTTATGAATCTCATTGAAATGTCTTCATTAACTATTCTGTTGTAAAAATACTTTAAAAAAAAAGGGGGGGGGGGGGCTTAGTAGTATGGGCAACAATGAACAATATTATTCCTAGCTTATTAGCCAAGTCAATTCAAATAAGACCGCGGGGGACCAAACTGGAGGTAAAATGTTTTAATAAGTCAATTACAGTCCTTACAGCGCCTATTTTTTCACAGTTGCAAATTAAATCGGAGTGGTTTTTTCAGCCACAAACTCTTACACGGCATTACTGCCTTAAAAAGCTTTCGGGGGAAAAATATCACCTTTCCCTACTAATTACGTATTAGCAAATGCTAATTTTACATCTCACCTCTAATTTATTAAGTATTCCAGCAGTGTCCAAATAACTGCATGCAATGACTTTTGAGCACGCTCGGAGCACGGAAAGAAGCGACTGCACATGTAAATATCAGTTATCAGAGTGGTGTGTAGTTACCGAGGTCCACTCACGAAAAGTCCACCATGGCTTCCACCTCCTCTGAAGGTAATAATTTATTAAAGAACTAATGAACTACATTAACATCCAGAGATCTTATTCACACATGTGTTGTAAGAAAATTAAAAAAATATTGTTTGCAGTTTGTACTTTAGAGTGATGGGAAAAAAACAATAATTTTGAATTAAAGACACAATTAGAGGAAACTTGCAACAGGATAAATGTGCAATTACAGCCCACAGGTAAACCCTTGTTATCTTTGGCTAAAGAAGCCCAGAATGAGAAGTACCCCATTTCTATGGAAGGAATACAATCTCACAAGAATATGACATTTTTCAGACTTTCATTATTATGCAAAATTATGTATTAGACTTTTTATTATTTTTTTTACAGGAAATACACCAGCAAAAATTTCATCCATAAAAATTCTATAGCAGAATTTCTTTTTCAGAAATTCAACATCAGCAGTTCAACAACTGAGATGACTTCCTGGTGACCCAAGCCAGAGTAATCATCACTTGCATTTGAGTGTCTTTTAGCCAATCAAGTTACGCTAATGAAGGGATGATTGCTTTGGCTTGGGTCACCCCATTTTGAATGTTGTAAAACTGTTGCTGTTGAAAATTTTATGTAGAATTTTTGCTGTTAAAAATTTGAAGATGAAATTCTGCAGTTGATTTTTTTTACGTGTGAAATTTTTGCTGGTGTATTTTTAGTAAAAAAATGTTAATACATAATTTCAAAAATAAAATTCAGTGTCATCAATTTTGTGTCATATCCTGGTGACACTGTTTGTCTACCATACATTTCTACACAAACCGTTACTATTTGCAATGGTGGGGCATGCAATCATTTTCCTCTAGGTGGGAGATTTCCGGAAACGGAATGAAAGCAAACATCTTAAAGACAAAAACACCTCAGGGACAGTTTATACAGCTACTAACTATTACTAGTGCAAACATTGGTTGCATTACACCAAACCCCACGACAAAATTAGTTCGTAAAACTATTGAGGAGCAGAGATTAAATATTATGTAAAAACTTGCCGTTGCAAGGTTATAGTCTGCTGTAGCTGCTGTGGAAGCCCAACACATAGCTTAGTGTTGTATTAGACCTCACAAAGCTCAACAATGAACAGGATAAAGGAGGATAATGAGCCAACTCATCACCATTTGCGGAGCTTTTTCTCTGCGAGGCAAACTCACACTAACTGCCCATTTCCCTCTAAATCCGTGGGATTACCTAATAGGTCATCATGTCTGCTTGGAATACAAAAGGGATCCTAGGATCAGAGAGAGACGGCTGCACTTAAACACTCATTTGAGAAATATTTTGTGGGAAAATTAATTATGTGGCTGTGGAACTGTATCGATCTCGGCAAGAGACGACGCGGACGTGATAATTATCAGACCTAGTCAGTGACGTCAACCTTGGTGATTGATTTCTTAAATGTTTTATATGAAACAACAAAATGCTTTCCTCCACACCAGCAGGCTGTGCTGATAACAGGTTTGGCTCCGGTCACTGGCTGGTTTCTCCCATTTTAAAAACTATCATGGTGGATTAAGCAGAGTTACACATTAACTTTAATCTCAATTAAGCCAAGTTATAAAGGTTTTCAAACACCACAGGAGTCTAAAGTATGGAAAGACTTCAAACAATTGAAGCTTTTTAATTTATTTATTTTTTGCTCTGCAAGGCTTCTTTGTAGTTGGCTTTTGATTGATTAACACTGTAACTGCATGTGTTTGTGCAGGACTTATGGAAATGAGCCCTGTTTTTGACCATTTCCAGGTCAATAACTTTGCATCTAACAGAAAATCAGAACTTGTAACCATTTTTGACATTTAAACCATGCAGAAAATCCTTTTTTTTTCATTTATTTTGTAAATCTTTAATTTTGCATTTTATACCATAATTTTATACACCATTTAATTTGTTGGTACATAAATCCAAAGGAATGGAAATAAAATGCTTGTGTTTTTATTTTTATGATCATTTAGCTTTTTCTTACAGGGGGAGAGGTAACTTATGAAGTAAAGCATTATTTAAATAAGACAAATTCAAGTATTATTAACTTTATTCTGACAGCTATGGAACAGTGTGAAAAAGGTAATTTTCTGATTAAAAAAATCTGTTTTCACACACACACACACACACACACACACACACACACACACGCTCGCGCGCGCACACACACACACACACACACACACACACACACACACACACACACACACACACACACACACACACACACACACACACACACACACACAATACAGTACAGGCCAAAAGTTTGGACACACCTTGTCATTCAATGTGTTTTCTTTATTTTCGTGACCATTTACAAAGGGCCGACAAGTGCTAAACACCTCTGGGAAGTCCTTCCGACTACCTACTGAAGCTCATCAAAAGAATGCCAAGAGTGTGCAAAGCAGTAATCAGAGCAAACGGGGGCTATTTTGAAGAAAATAGAAGCTAAAACATGTTTTCAGTTACTTCACCTTTTTTGGTTAAGTACATAACTCCACGTGTCCATTCATAGTTTTGATGTCATCAGTGAGAATCTACCAATGTAAATGGTCATGAAAATAAAGACAGCACATTGAATGAGAAGGTGTGTCCACAATTTTGGCCTTTGCAGCCACGAACGAAGCGTCAGCAAGGTAAAGAGAAACCTTATCTGTGTTTTAAAAAAGAACCAAAAATGGAATCAGAAGTCAAACATAGCAAGAACGTACAAAAGATTTTTAAAGTGGTTTGAAGTTATTCTGTGCAACCTGCACCAAATGATTCCCATGAGTTGGGAGCCCAAAATTTAATTAACATACCCTTAATTAACACACAGGATGCTGAACTGGAGCAATCTGAAGCTGAAATCAGCTGTTGAACAAAAATAAATCCCATTAACATTTATTTATGCCTAAAATTCTTCAGCAGTAGTAGGAAATAAATGGCTTTCACGTTTGCATCTGTAGAAACTTGGAGTGACTGCTGATAGATAACTAAATTTGACAGCTCTATTACAATACCTAACAGGTTTCATGGAGGTTTCCAGTAAAATTCCTCTTGATTAAATATGAGCAAGCAGGCTGTCAGAGCTGAGCCCGCGTTTTACAGGTTCCTTTTCGTCACTGAAGCTTTGAGATGGAGCGCTATTGCTTAAAAATGGAACCTTGTGCTCATCTCTTCCTGAATACCAAGAGAGGACTCTCCCTGTGGACGTAATGAACACAATGGGAACAGTCTTCCACAGCAGAGAAAGAGAAAAAACTAAACTATTATTAGCCATGAACCTTGCTCTGGAATGAGAATCCAAGAAAGAGCATTTATTGCATCATTCTGACCTTATCCCTGCTATGCATCATTTCCTTCTTTCTGTAGCTGCCAACTAACTATGCAGAATCTGAGGTTAGTCATTTGTACAAATTTAAAAGCAAAAAATAAAAAAGAGAATGTTTTGATTGCTAGTCCTGCACTTCCAACTGATAAATGATGAAACTAATTTGTGCCTTTATGCAGCCACATTCTATTAAGAAAACCACACATAATCATGCCTCTGATGAGCACAGCAATTACTAAAGTTGATGGGAGTGTAGGGATTTTCCAGAACTGCTCGGTTATGTTAGTCATCAGCTGTTAAATGTTTACTCTATGAACTCAGACAAAAGAAATGTGACAGAATGTGATTGGTAGCTGTTGACCTGCGGCTGATTATCGATGATAATAATCACTCAGGCATTTATGTCAGCTAGGAAAATCACACGCGTTTACGTCAGAGAGAAGCTTTGCAATTACTAAAATGATCTGTAATCAGGAAGGGGAAATTCATAGCTGACATGCAGGTCTAAATGAATCCAGTGTGATGATGTTTACTGTTGGTTTAACGTGTAAAAAATGCTCATGAACGGAAAAACGATGGATTCAGTAAGATATGTGGTCATATTTCAAGAATGTCATCAATTTTCTCACTTTTTTCCAAAAAAAGTATCACGGTAGACTGACTTTTATTTTTACCTTCCCAATAAAATCTTCTGCAGAATGTCGTTTCTGTTTTGCAATTAAGAGTTAAATCGTGCCATGAGTTTACCTGTAGAGCAATCGTGGCCCGTCCAGTTGGGATCACAGCTGCACGTCCCGGTGTCTGCCAGGAACGCTCCGTGTCCAGAGCACTGATCCATGCAGGAGGCCCTGGGACTCTCACATCCCGACCCGCCCCACCCGACAAAGCAGTGGCACTCTCCCTGGACACAGACGCCTCGGCCCGAGCATGTTGGATCCAGACAGTCCACTAAAAACATTTCAACAAAAGCGTTAGACACACCAGTCACCAGCTGTTCCCATCTTTTCACAGGCGTCCTGGCATCTTTATTTGAGCCTGAGCGGAATGACAACTGCATCAGACTGCAGTTCAAATGCAGATGCGACCGGCTCGGCACATGAACAGTAAACGCACAAAGGGAACACACAGAAAATGCCATTTCTCTAAAACTGGAGAAGAAAAGATTTACATAGAAGCAAATGAAATGGCTGTTTGCTCGGTGGGTGTTATGGCACGAACCCACAGGTTCAGCCCACACTTCTGCTGGCATTTTCTCTTCACTGTAGAAGAAAAAACCTCCTAAAGAAGAAAGGTTGCTTATTAAAGGCATGTTTCAATAAGGTGAAAGCCACACTGATGCAAAGTTGAAAGGTAGGAAACCTGAAGCCTACATGTACCGACTAAAGAGAACTGGTGGGGAAAAGCCCGAGGCCACAGACAGACTTTCCAAGGAAGCGGGACTGAAACGTTGTATCAATAGTTCGGTTAGCATTCTAACATCCAATCATTGTCTGTTTTCCATCCAACGTTGAAATGATTTCAAATGAATGCTTGCTTTGTTGGGAGAAACAGTTGCAGGACCACACAATCACAGCATCAGCATTCTGTCAACAAGATCATATCGTCGTGGCACACACAGATGGCAAATGGATGCAGGGAAGGAGCAATGTCTGGCCACCGAGAGCAGTAGGCCACGCCATGGCAGGTCTCCTTTATAAAGCCTGTTATACCAAGACAAACAGCATCTCTTGCCTCTAAGCAGATGGTTTGGGCACAAAACGCAAAGATCAGAGGCTAACTGACAAGAAACTCTCTCCTGGCAATTAATCATCATGGCTGAAGGTCACATGGAGAAAAGGTAGAAGTGCTAAAGGGCCCTCAGCCACATTCCCCACCACTCCTTATGGCTAACACTCCACCTAAAATAGAATAGAGGCCTATGGATGTCACCAACCCCCATTTATCAAATGCCCAGGGTCCATTTTTCATCTTGAAATGAGACCCTTCAAGAGCTGACAAACACAATGGCTCCTTCGATCTCGTCCAGCCAAACCTTTCCGAACAGCGAATGACGCTGGAGTTCCTGCTAGATTAACAGGACTGTATGTCAGAACTTGTGATAATAAACATCTTGTTTTGTTATGCATATCGCCCTAAATCAGTTAAATATGGAGAGAAAGCCACCTAAGTCACACATTTTGAAGTGCTACGGTCGGAACAGTCTTCAGGGGACGTCCTGTCTTACGGAAACTTGAAGCTTTACTAATATGAGCATACCTTCAAAATGTCGAGCTCTAACAGGCTGAGGGTGGAATCTGACAAATTCGAAGGGGGTTTAAAATCACCTTCTTCACAGTTTTCTCCCTTGTAGCCTGGGTTGCAGATGCACGTTCCCACGATGCAGGTCCCATGGCCGCTGCATGTGATGTCAATGCACTGGTTGGTGGGAACGTCACACTCGGAACCCTTCCAGCCGCTGTGACACATGCAGCGACCTTTAAGGTATTGACCATTCCCACTGCACAGCACCGGACAGGCAGCTTTGAAAAGAGCAGAGGGCAGAAATCCATTTCAATGGAGCACTCTGATCACAGCTTCATCTGACAACAACAGGACGACCCAACCACTAAAAGGTTTCCCGTCCAGATAAATATTGGCATCTGGGACAGACACAATTTAGATTTAAGCATAAAATGCAACAGCTAATTAATAGAGAATAGGATAAAATTGTTACTTGTGATGGAGATCAAAATGTGGAAAGAATATGACATAAAATTATTGTATTTGTTAAAAAAAAAAACAATGTGCCAACTTCATTCTTTTTCATAATGCGGTGTCTTAAAGTAACAATAGACCATTTTTTAAGCTTTAAGCTAGAGCTTTAAAGGGACTTTACGGAGCTTTGAATTTTTATGCTCGCGATTGCCCCCTCAGGCCAATAGCGTAACGGCAGCTTCAATAGTAGGCTCGTGCTTGAGGCGCACATGCTGTACGTGCACACACCTTCACGAAAATAACAGCTGAGACAGTCCCTTGTGTGTGTGTGTGTGTGGCCTGGAGAACAGAGGACAGGAGAACGCACCGCTAACTAATTAAATAATTTGGTTCTGTACCTTTCTCTTCAGCACAGCCGACAAAGGTTTATGATGGGTCAGTCCTCCTGCATGCTCAGATCATTCCATTCCCTTGCTTGAAAAATTGTTCCAAAATGAAAGTTGAACCCACATCTTTTTTATCTGTGATTTCAATGCCGTTCGGCGAGTCTCAAATAAAAATTTGGGCATCTTACTGTAAAAAAAATATTCCATTAATGTAAAAAAGAAACTCTAAAAAAGCTATGTTCACATCCAGAATCGAACCCACGTCTTCTGCACGAAAGTCCGACCTTTTACTAGGCGAGCTTAAGCGCCAGTGACGTCCTTTGTATCTGCAATATTTATATCCTTGATGACAGCTGAAACAACGTTCAAAGAATGGCTCGGAGGGCTATGCCTGAGCGTGAACGCGCATGAAGCAGCCTGCTCGACCCGAGCAGCTCTCTTTTTCTGTGATTTTACAGAAAAATAGGCAATCACAGTAAAAATGCCAGGGCTCATTCTACAAGACCAGGAGAATGTATGAAGAAGAAATTTATTATTTCTATACATGTTTTAGCTGTCAAACTTCCATAATGCCCCTTTAACATTGATCTCAGTGATTGTTGAGTTAGAAACTTGACCAGTTTCATATTTGGCACCACTCTGCTGACCAAAAACTGCACTTGTTAGTTTTGTGATGGGGGTAGATTTTCAAAGGGGAGCTCTTTACCTGCTTTACGGCTATTAGCTGTTATGTTAGCGATTAGCATTTTCAGTTCGCAGACGTCTGTGAGACGTCAGTGGAGCCTGGAAGTAAAAGTAATAGAGTAATGTCTTTGGAGGCGAAGAGCTAAAATCTGAGCGAGCATCTGCGTGGCCTACACTAGTTTGAGGGAGCTAAAGGAGGCCATAAAAATCACAGACTGACAGTGACCTAGCTTTATTGCTATAGGACTTGTGAGTAATAATATTTTTTTGCTCAACAGTGTGGATCTTTTGCTTTGTAGTTTATTTTAGTATTAGTTGGCTCACGTTAGTGTTAGCTACTTGTTAGCGCTAGCTACAGCAGGGTTGTTTACAGCAGTTGTTATTTCACTTTCAACCAGTAGAGCAGAGGAGCAGGAGGAGCTCTGTTACTTTAACAACTGATGGACCTAATCTAAGTCATACATATAAAGACCTTCATCTTGTTTACCAACAAGGTTATTTAATAAAGAAATCAATGTCTAAGTGGTACAGCCATAGACAGAAACGAATAGCTTAATTTATAGGTAAAACATCTGAGTTACAATTAGATGGGGTAACACCGTAGAATCCATCTAGGCGCTGGGGAGGAAGTGACTCACCTCGCCCACAGTCAGGTCCTTTGAATCCTAAAAAGCAATGGCATGTTCCGGCGACACAGTCGCCATTTCCAAAGCAGTTACTAGGACAGTCATCAATGGAATCTGCAAGAGAGCAATCAAGAGATTTTTGTAAGAAAAAGAACGACAATTTTCCTGCCACTCATTTCTTGTGGCTGATTATTTCCCCTCACTAATGACGGTGATGAGTGCATGCTCCATCAGACGCAGCGTTTATATTTCACTGCATGTGACTCGTTTGAGTGTTACCTGAGTTTCACACAACTGGGTTTGATTCATGACAAGAGCAAACCCGGTTGTGATTACCTCTACAAAAATTACGAATCAATGGGTTTCTCAGAATTTTGCAAATGCACAGAAAATAAAAGCATTTCAATCTTTGATCAACTTAATTGAATGCACTGATTGCACATTGTAGGTCGACGAGGCGCTGGAAAAAATGAAGACTGTGCTATCTCATTGTCTCGACTCATCCAAGTGCATCCCATTTTAGCGATAAAAGCTTGGACTTCGTATTAAATAATGCATTTTCAATCAAAGGGTTTGAGAGTTTTAAACTTGAATCAAACAATGGAAAAGAGTCGTTTTGGTCAATCTTTAAACAATGTTCAGTAATTTTGCTAAATATGGCAAGCTCTTCCCCAGTTAGTGTTTGGAACATGCATGTGATTGGCTCTAAAAATCAGTACATCGTCCAGCACTTCCTAAAGCGTTTACTCCTGGCATCCAATGGTTCATGAGACAGCTTGCCAATATTACAGGTACCCAAGCACACAAGCAACAACTTAAAATAAAACAAGACATTGCCATGCTCACATTCAACAGATCATTTCAAAATGTTTGATTGTAGCTTGTGAAAGAAATTTTCATTTTCATGAGAGAAAGTAATCTAAGTCTTACAAAGACTTTAGTCTCAATGTATTTTAGAGTTTTTTTAAAGAGCAAGCCACCCCCAACCAGAGTCTTACTCCATTTCCATTTCCTATTAGAAACATGTGCTACAACGAGGCGTTGCCAGACAGACCGAGACACACATACAACAAATACACACACACAGGCTCACAATGGCATTGTTACATCATAAGGTACCTCATAGCCAATGGCAGATTTAAATTCAAATGTAGTGCAGAGTTTACCTGAAGAGGGCGCAACACAAACTGCTTTAGGCAGAATATTAAAATTTTAACTAAGATTCACTAAAGTGCCACATTATTGACTACACGTGTCTACAGCACGATTACACACTCATTTATGTAGATTATCAGCAAAAAAGTTGATTTGGGGGTGACTTGCTCTTTAACTCTTCTTCATCACAAACATTCATCATTTCCCTTTATTTTTTTCTCACATACATGAAATGCATGGCTTAAAAATCCTTCACTACTACTGTACTGTGCCTTGACACTTACTTTTATTAGAGACAAGAATGACCGCTGATCTCTGAAGACAGCAGGCGAGCTTTGAAACATGATGCTCGCTGAATTAAGCCTGAAATGGTGCTGAAAAAATATCCAATCTTGTCCGGAGCCTTTAGGCAGCAGAAACTCTGAGGCAAAACTTATTGAACAAAGAATCTCTTGTACTACACACACACACACACACACACACACACACAAAAAAACAGAAATGCGAGCCATGGATTCAGCTTCCCTTTACCCTGGAGAGTCAATCATCACTAAGGATGCAATGCAAGACAGAGGGTGGGGAAGAAAGACAAAGGAAGAGAAGGAAAAGAGACACAGGCAGAAAGGAGAGAGCAGTGGGCAGTAGGCTGCTGTTTTATTATGCTTCAGGCTTTCCTGTGCCATGTTGGGTTAGTGAAGGGATCTATGGAAGTCTATACACTGGTGAGGTGGAGACACTCAGCAGTTTGGGGGAGTTTTGATGGCCCCAAAGCAGAACATCTAAGTATAGGAAACCCTGGCTTTATTATCTTTTGCAAAAAAAGCTTGAAAATCCAGCAGAGTGTGGGGGGTCAAAGGCGGCACGCCTACAAAACAACAGAACATACATCTCTGGTACGGCTGCAGACTCACCATTACACAAATCTACCCTGAAAATTCCTGTTGCAAATGCTGCAGAAGCATGCATCCACGCAAATCTAAATGAGTTTTGTTAAAAATCAACTTGGATCAGCTTGGAGGCAGCATGCATTTAATATGCATAATCACTCTTCATCAATTATGCATATTTCTTTGCAGAACAACTGCCAGCCTGTCAAACAGAACAGAGTAGTCGTGAACTTTAGTGCTCTGATTCTGAGAGCTGACACAGTTTAGTGGACTAAACGCTGCCCATGTCCATCTCCTGCAAGTCCTCTGAGAGCGAGGAAGGGAGGCTGTGGATGTCTCTTATCCACACACTCGACATGGGCCAACACATAAATCATGGATTCAAGCAGAGCGGCATTGAAATTCATTACCCTTCGTATCCGTGGAGCTAACTATTGTGAGCCTCTACTGCCTGTGAGGAAAGAGTAGTTGGTTTAATCAGAAACTTGATGTGCTCTTGGAGGGTGCGTGCTCCACACCTTTCAGTTGGTCGGCTGTGGACAAAGAGAGTCTCTGTGATGGAGAGAGACAGGACACAGAGTCAGACTTAGCTGCTGGGTCTTTACTTCTAGTGAGTCTGGGTTTGAAGCATGTCTGGCAGTGGGAAGCAAGGACAAATGGTGTCATGCTCCAGAGAGGTGTGAGGAAAAACATTCAGCAGAGCACATTTCAGATTGCCAGGGAGCCTCCGTCAAGTAATCAGGAACAACCCAGATTAAAGCCGCCCCGCCCCTCGGACATGACAGTAGCCAGTAAGAAAACCTTTCATTTTATACATTTAAAGTCCACAAAAGTAGTAAAGTGACACACCTGCCTTCTCCGCCACGGCCTAAAATAATTAAACAGAGTGTCGTTTAAACAAAGCTGCTTGTGTTTCAGACTGCCTGCTCTGGCTATTGCTCACATATATTTCTATACCTGGGCTGCCCTGTTTGAAGGTCAACTCCATCCTTCCACAGCTCAATACGATTCAGGCAGTTGGTGGATTCAATTTCTGCTGAAGGGCACTTAACCGGTGACCCATTTTTGAAGGGCCCCTCTGCCTCCCTCTGAGCAGATCAGCTCAACACAAAATGAACAGAGGCAGAATTCCTCCTCAGACCATTTGTGCCCCGCCCCGTTCGCTGCACAGAATAGTGGTAATGCTGTCTCTGATGCAAACCACAGGGGAGGTACGCACGCACCCACTCAAGGAGAACTAAGCAACACTAAACACGCCGTTCTCACTCCGCCATCACATTCTAAGTATTGAATTACAGCTGTTGTTGGCACAGCAGGGGGGATAGCGCGTCTCTTACCTGTCTTCACTTGGATGTTGAGGACAGCCTCTCATCGATCTGCTGCCTGGCACCGCCACTGTCACATATGGACTCTGGCCCAGGAGCTTTTAATTAAAGAGCATGTGAGAACAGCTCCCAGCTGCCGTCCCTGCGAAAGTCGACACCTCGGGCCCTCTCACACCTTGCTTGATACAGCAGCGCTAATCAAAGGCGCTTAAGGGGGAACAAAGAGCACTGTACAAAATGAAGTCACCTCCACAAAGGAGGACACACGTGCGAAACACAGATGTGTGCCGCTCACCAAGAGTCAGAGGAGAGGAATATCGCGCCCACTTACGTGATATATGGAAAGCAGATGGAAATTGGAGCAAACCGTGATCAAAAATGGGACTAGCAGGAGAGTACAATCATACTTTGAGTTGTATGCAAATGTCTCCCAGAAGTTGGACCCCTGATTCACTCGGAAGACACTCAGGCTAATGAGGATATTATGATCTCTCGATGCCCTTCTCAGTGGCATGGCAGGATCACACTGATGTCCTGATTTTGTAATATCCAGCTTCACCTTGATTAACCTGCTCTCTCTTCAGCTATTCAGATCTACCAGTCTCTTACATTTGCCCCAGTTCTGCACTGTTTGCTGCAGGGTGGTATTATACGGATTAGGGATCGCCATCACCGGTTTCATTAGCAGGTCGCGCCCGTGGCACTCACCTACGGCAGTGGTGAGGAAGGAGACAGTTTCTGTTTCTTTCCCGTCGTTGTAGATGGCTAGGTGCCAGATGCCTGAGTCCATGTACTGGATGAAGCCCGTGTCGTGGGTGGTGATTGGTATGAGACTCCGCTGCATAGCCGCGGGCCCCTCAAGACCGTGGATATCTTGGGCCAGGAGTCGCCGCCCGTCCAACAGCTCCACAAAGTCAAACTGCAGACAGACACATGCACAGAAAGTGAGACTGGCGGACGGATGGAGCACAGATGTGCCATTAGAGCGATGCATGAGACAGGAGAGCTTTCAGTCCTCCATACAACACAGCATCATTCGGTCTGCATGAATAACTCATCATTCTGGAGGAGCTTGAGTTAAGTCTCCACACGGCTCGGCTGGATGGCTCGTGATAATTTTGTAGAGCAAATACTTATACGAAAGTCTTGTTTGAAATTATTAAACGGAAAAATGGAAAAGCTGGGGAAATTAAATGTAAAGTTAGTGTTTACCAAATAACGTCTGCCCTGATTAGCTTCATATCAGCGGCGAGCCAATGAATACCAATGAGACATCTTTTCATTTTCCTCTGCAGAACAGGAAGGGACGTTTGACTTGTGTGCGATCAGTCACCGGATGAATTCTCTTCTCCTTATATTTATTTATTTTTTCTTTGAATTAAAAAACATTAAAGAGGAAATCCTGTTTTTTCAGGTGAAAAATTGTCACAGAGGACATTTGTGCAAACAAAAATCAGGCTACGTACGACCTGCCGAGCTGCTGTTGCATTAACAGATCTACAATGTGTGGAGCAAGCAGCCAGAAATGATTAATAACTTGAAACATCTCATTCTGTGTTTCACGTAGATGGGAAATTAGTGAAAAGAAAAATCTTCCCCTCTCGGCTCACGAGTCCTACAGACTTGTGTGATTCATCGACGTTCCTGAACCCGAAAGAAATTTGTAATCAATCCTTCCTGCAACAAAGAAGGCGATTCATAATCCAGTAGTGAAATTCATGAAGTGGTTTGTACTCATAACACGCTTCTACTTGGTTAAGTTTAGAAAAAATACATAAAAAAGAAAACAATTTCCCAATTTATTTTAAGGGTAAGTAAAGGATGGAAAAGCAGCAGGATCTTATGCTACGTGGGCACGGCTGTAAAATGTTTCTCACACATCCCATTTATAATTTACCACTGCCATTGTTTTATCTGTGCAACATGATCTGTTGCAGTAAAAGCTGAAATGTGCCAACTCTGAGCAGCAAGAACATTTAGCTTCCACGCTTTATTTTCCTTAAGACTAGCATGCAAAACAACCTGAAACACATGCAGCTTGAATACAGCATCAGCGTTATGTAAATATGTCCCACCTGGGTGTGCGATGGAGGAAGGCCTCTTCTTCCGTAGACCCCCACTAAGGCATCTTTGCTGAGCGACACATTAAACTTCAGGTACATGGGATGATCGATGAAGACCTGAGATCTCCAGAAGATACCAGGAGGAATCTGCTGTGCGACCTTTCGGCCCACGTCAATCTCCCCCATATCTATATAGCTGTCATCCGGGAACAAGCTGTCCAATTTGCCTGCATCACACATAGAGTTAATCGGTCAAAGAGATCACATCATTAATCCTGCAAGTGGAGGGGCAGAGGGAGCGGGTCTGCCGAGGCACGAGTCCGACTATATCACAGACATTTAATCACAACGCTGACAGCCAGAGGAAGGAAAGATGTAATGAATGATCCCTCTGACCACTGCCAGTCATTATTGGCTACACTGACGGAGGTCAGAATAATCTGATTTCATTAATGTTTTCATGTTTGCAGCTGATTTTACAGAAATATATAAAGGTGTAAAACAGTTGGTTAATCAATACTTTTGCAGTGGTTGGGAAAAACAGCCCAGAGACGACCGGATCAGCACGGATAAGTCTGCTGCAGAAGAAGAGTGGCAGCAGACGGCAGGATTTGGACTCTAATTTCCTGATTTTTGGACACCGTGCCTCTGATTGGATAACAGTAGCACGACTCTACCATTAAATTGTAAAGTTGTTGTTTTATCTTCACAAATAACACAAGCCTGAAGGAGCTTCTGCCGTGTGGTTGAGCTGCTAATGCTAACAGTTAGCTTCTGCTAGCCAAGACGTTCAAAGCTGTTTCCTGAACTTTAAAACACCAACAGCCGTCCCCGTCGCAAGCCGAGATCGGTGAGTCCAAGGGACCACGTGATGTAGAGCGGTCAGGTTTGTCAAATCCTAGAACTTCACACAATCTAATGTAGGAGACTATTTTCAAGTTCAGCCTGCATGAAAAACTCAGAGTGACTGACTATAATCAGAAATAATGATTTTTTCCAGTGTTCCACACCTTTAAAATAATTGCGTTTAAAACTTACAAGGAAGATGAATAACGCTCATTTGTAGTGCTAAAAAATACAGACAGCCTAATAATAAACCAACAATAAAACATTTTTTGTTGGGGTAAAAAACATGACAGCATATGGCGTGGACTTGGCAAGATTAGCTGCCAAAATCAAAGCGCTCTAATACTGTAATAGTGAGATGTAAAAGTAATGAAGTGAAGATAGTAATTATAGCAGAGAGGGATTTCAATCGCTGCTACCTGCTCAGGTATTAGCCCATTCACAGGCAGAAATGGCCCATATGCTCCATAATGCAGCTTCTATTGGACTCAGCGGAAAAGGCAACATCTGTTTGACTGTGTAGATGAGCTAATTTCAGCAGCGGTGTCGGCTGCAGCAGACATCCATACAAACTACCCCCCGGACCTGGAGGCAGACGCGGCTTTGGGTTACACGTGGCGCACCAGATGGAAGTCCTCTCAAAAGTCCATCAGCGACAATGGGGCTTACCAGAGGAGACGGGGCACACTCCCCATCTCCCAGATCGGGGCTTTACAGAAACCCACAAGCTCATTTAGCACAAGTAGGCACACGGGTTGGGTGTGTGTGTGTGTATTTACGCAGCCCATTAATGGTGCACTCATCAGGCTGGGTTGATAAATTATACCCCTAGACCTGCGATAATGGGTCTTGTAGTTAAATATTTTTTGTTTTATTTGGCTAGATAAACTAAAACGTAATGCTGTGATGGAGAGACGAGACTCAGAGAGATAATGCTGCTGAGGGCACATTTGCATCATCTTGACAAAACATTACGTAGTCCGCTATTGTTTCCAGTGACAGTGCTGCAGACAAATATTTAACAAAAAAACTCCAGCTATTGATTTTTTATTACCAACAGCTTCGTACAGACTCCATGTCCTGAATCTGATGGAGTCTTGCTTGTTGTTGGCTAAACACACTTTTTGCTGTCTGGTAAATGAAAAAGACAACTCCTGGATTCATCTATATGGTAATAACCTCATCTTCTACCTATTGTAGGCTGCCAATGGCAAATCACATGGTTTAATCTGCAACCATTTGTTCAAAAATGAAGAAAGGAGGAAAATAAGTTTTTCTTTTCTTTTTTTTTTATTTCTTTTTTTTTAGACTTGAGCAGTTGGTACCGTGGGGTGAGCACATCCTTTCTTTGGCTGCCAGGAAAGGCAGTCCAAGCTGGAAGATGAAAGGATCACTCCGTTCTGAAGGGGACAGAGTTGCTAATCCTCCCTTCCGGACCCTGGATACTCCATCCCTTAAGCTGCCCCATATTCTCCCACCAGGAACAAATAACACTTTCCCCACTTATAACAACTTTTATAGGATTACAATGCAGATCTCTCTGGATACTGGGTAGAGAGATGGGCGCAATGTGAAGCTGACTGACAAAATTATTACAAACTTGCTAAAGCTCTGAAAAGGCCATCTGTACAAACAAGATTTGAGGACTTTGTTTGCTGTTCAGAGTTGTTTTTCTAATGTGGATGCAACAGGAAGTGCTACTTTTGTCGAACTTTGAATGTTGCACCTTAAACAACCACACAGCTGATTTATGGACTTTTCCCCATGGGTCCACACTGTAGGCTTCAGCGACACACAACAGCAGCAGGACAGTTTACTCGTGTGCTTCGCAACACATCAATCCACACCGGGGGAGTCTCAGCCATGGAGCGGCATCTCTGCCGTCCTCCTCACTGGACTTGTGAGACCACAAAATCCCTCGAGACTTCAAAGGTCACAATTTGTTTATGCCATTTTACATTAAACCAAAAAGAAGAAGGGATCAAGTTTGATATCACTGTTTGATGTATATGATGTTCTTCTCCACTGCCAAGATCAATGCCGTGAAAAACACCATTGCACTTCTCGAATTATGGTGGGAGTAAATAAGCGGTTAGGTCACATGTATTGACGTAATTTACATAGATAAGAAATCGCATCTCTGCAATAGTCTTTTATTTTGAAAATTACTGGACATTTTACACTTAAAGCATGTGTATTTTCCTGTTTGGCCCTATGTTAACTGCAGAAATTGACGTGTCCCAGAAGCTGCTCCTGGCAAAAATAGAAGCTGATCCCATCTTTATGGTAAACAGCCTTTATATATAGCACTTGCTTAGGGTTCTACAACCCCCCAAGGCACTTCACAACACAATCAGTCATTCACACATTCACATGCTGGTGGTGATGAGCTACATTGTAGCCACAGCTGCCCTGGGGAACTCTGACAAAGGCGAGGCTGCCGAGCACTGGCGCCACCGGTCCCTCCAACCACCACCAGCTGGCAAGGCAGGTTAAATGTCTTGCCCAAGGACACAACAGCAAAAATCTCTAGTGGCGCAGTGAGCTGCTTCTGGGGCACGCCTGAAAAGCTCTGCGCCGTGGCCAGTTTGAATCAACCCATAGACTATAATGTTTTCTAATTTGAAGCTGCGACATTCCGCTGCCATTCCGTGCCGCCTCCATTGTGGATTTGGCCTCAGGGGCTTTTTACCAAACTCAGGACTATATTTAAACTGACCGCCACAACCAAGTACAGACTGATGAAGTGCGTGATGAAGTAAGTATTGTAAGTCGCTTTGGAGAAAAGCGTCTGCTAAATACATGAACATAATTCTGAGGCGGTTCAATTCCAACAGTAAAGAAGACGACTTTAGTGGCTTTGTGTAGAGGAGGAAAATGAATAATTTAACCCTCTCAGGCTCAAAATAAGTTTTGGTAAAAGGACGAACAACTAAGTCCTTCCGGGGTACTTCTGAGTTAAAAAATGCTCATGAAATACGTATGTGGAGTAACCAGGTAGGTAGGTTTTAACGTTGCAAATCTGCAACGCCTGCCTCCAGAGGGTTAAGGACTTTTCCCAGAACTGTACAATACCGGCATTTTTTCCTTTTTTTTAAACCAGCCATGTTGCTGGCACTGTTCAGACAAAAGCATTTAAAGCGGAGATTTCCTTTCCACTGTCGCTACATGCTTGCACAAGTCAGTGACTTGAAGAAATCTGCTGGGTTTCCTTAAGCAGGAAACTTTGAAATAACTGGAATAATGATCTGAACTTAAATGGAATGTTTACTTTGTGAATTGCTTAATGACTCTTGACTCTAAATTGAATTGAATGTACTCCACAAATTAGTGTATGTTACCATAACGTATGTAATTAAAAGTTTACAAAATATTTCAGGAAACCTGCAGCTTATAGAAAGGTACAGCCTACATAAAGTACAATTTATTTGACTTGGATATTTTTTCTAAGTTAGTGGGTGTGGCTTAAATTCAGTTGTGCTCAATACTGCGGAAATCACAGTATCTGATAACAACAACTTAATTAATAAATGTACTTACTGTCATCTTTTCCCTTCCGATCAGGTATTTCCAAGCCTGTGTTGCCTAGCGGGGGCAAACTCAGGTCTGTAGGAAATGTTAGGCCACTTGTATTGTCTTCTGACAGCTGGTACATCTGTCTTTGCATTGGCTGCAGGTGCCAGTTTAATCCCAAAAGGTGAATGGCTGAAATACAAAAAAAAATTGTAAAAAATACCGCAAAGATGTATTTAAAGAAGTTTTAAAAGACACTTAAAAAAGTGAAATAAAAGTGAGTTTGGTGAGAATGGTGAGACAGGAAGTAAACAGAACTAAGAACAATACTTGGTTTAATGTTTAAAGGAATTTTCTCAAAAATGCTGAGCAGCAACATCACTAGATGGATGGTATCCTGAGCCTAAGAGACCATATCTTTTTTTTAAACATCTGTCTTACCCCCCAGCATAGTCCATCCTACAATTGTCATTTTCTCTGCTCTATTACTTTAATGTTTCCAAAACCAAAGGACAAAAGAGAGGGAAAACAACAACAACAATAAACGTCAGCAGAGAGAAACCAGGGGTGCTCAATGTGAACAAAGTGGATAAAGCAGAAAGATATTTTACAAGGTCGACAAAAGAAATGTCCTTTGGAACAATGGCAGCAGAGCGCCGGGTGAAGGGGGAGGAGGGGCTGACCATGACAGATCACCAATAAGAGAATGGGCACGATGAGCTTAGCAAGGCAAAAGCCTACTTGGAAGGCAACAGTCAGCAGAAATGGCCCAGAAACTCAATATAGCCATTTCTTTGTTTGGTTGGTTCTCTTAAGCATCAAAGAGCAACGTGATTCAATTATAAAAAAGTGGAATTATCGGGCAATGTTACTCTTAAACTGGGATACCTCTTGTCAAGTGTGGCTTTCTTTAGTCCTGCACCAGATTTAATAATAACCCAGCATTCATGTGGTGGACAAAGCATGGTGTTACCCCCTACCCTATATATTTATGTTCAGCATTTAATCTCACTTTCAGGTAATTATTTTGTGATGCAATGACTTAATATCTGAAAGTATTTTTGTATAGGCTTTTTTCAGTCATCACTAATAAAGAGTGTATAAAAAAAATATGTAATAAAACTCCGATCTCCCAGTCTCAGAGCAGACACTCATTCATCCACATACATTATATATGTAGACGCCCAGTGGAAATGAGATGCCTGTTGGAGCTGCTGTAGATGAACGCCATGTTGGACGAGTTTCGAGTCGCCCCCAGTGCATTTATTTCTACTGAGAATGGTGCTTGCTCAACTAAAAAACCCATTTTATTATACTTTTTCAGAAAATCAGACACATGGTATGGCATGGTAATTGAAATATAAATAGATATATAAATAAATATAAATGAGAAGAAATTAAATGACAAAATTCCAACAGGTAGGCTAGAAAAGTCAATAATGATCCCATGTGATGTGTTTTCAATAGTATGCCAGTTGTTCAAAAAAAAATTAATAAAAATGGGCATAGTTGCTCACTCTGTGTTTACCTGTTGGTTTTGGAGAGTGAGGGACCCATCCAATATGGCAGCGATGCTGCTATGCTGTCCAGTGTCCAATGGGGGGCTCATGTATTCATGTCTATACCACTAGGCCACTGAGAAATGGAGTTTTATAAGACTTCAGAAAACACTGCCACAGTGGTAATTCAAATTCAAGTGAAACCAATTTGGGTTAAATCAATTATAATATTATAAAATATTACAAAATGTTCCAAATGTTGTTTTCATTTTCTTATTATTTGTCTCTTATCTCTTTATATCTCCAACATGTTTCCCAAGTCGGATGTGGTTTGTCACAAACCCCAAACCCTACAAACCAGGGGCAGGCACTCCGGTCCATCAATGCTGCTATCCAGCATGTTTTTGCTGATTCCCTGCACCAACATACCTTATTTTAATCAGTAGGTCCAGCTTTTGCAGAGCTCGATAACCTAATGAACAGATGAATGAACCATTTAATTAGGTGTGTTGGAGGAGGGAAACAACAAAAACATTCAGGAACTATGAGGACTGCCCAGCCCTGCATTAAATTCAATATGTTTAACAGAACAGGTTAAACAAACAAAAGAATTGCACAAGCCCAAGTAACAGGGAAAACTCTTCCTGCAGCATCATTTGATTTGCATTCTTCATCAGGAGTGCGAAAATGATATGCTAAGAAATAAAGACAGCAGCAAATGTTTAATTTTCTTTTATTAAGATTTTATTATCAGATAAGGAATTCTTTAAATTATGCTCACGTTTTTTCTGAGGAGAGAACCTGCTATAACTCTAAGTTGGAAAATCCACATGAGACCCATTCATGCTATTGAATATTCCAGGTAGCATTACCAGACCTTCATGCTAGAGCTGGACGATATAGAAAAAAAGTTAATCGATTAAAAAAAAATCATATTGATCGATATCAATAATTATTGAAAACTATATGAAAAATGTAGAAAATATATTTTAAGTGCAGCCCTGGCCATTTTATGAAATTACAAGTTGGTTGCATTATCACCTTTCGAGTAAGGAAAGTTCAGCTGCAATTCCAACATCTGTTCCGTACTTGTCCAGTGCCTGAGTCAGCTACCACACAAGTGACAGACGGCTTTGTGTGTCCCTCTGTAAGCTCCAGAAAGACATCCCTTTTGATCTCCAGCCTTACATTGAGTGGTGCAATGGAAAAAATAGTCAGCGTATGTTGGCGAACGATTGCAAAATCACCAGACAGGGATGTAATTCCAAGTGTCTCAGTAATCATGTGTTTCTAAGCATCATTCTTCATTCCAACCATCCCCAAGGCTTCCAATTGAAAATGGTAAAAGAGTCTCCCTCCTCCCATCCTTTAGGATTTTCTCCAATGCCCTCATGGTATTTAGGATATGCATAGAACTGGGCGTGAGCCAGAGAAAAGCAATTTTTATTTTGTTTCTTTTTATGTTCCTTTAAAACTTTGCAACCACTGCCAGACACCCAAACCCCAGTGGAGACTGGCTGCAGAACGGAGTGAGGTAGAAGCACTAACCAGGAGGTTTTAATGAGACGGCCACTGGCAGGGGAAAGCTAAGTCTTGAGTCCCAGTTATTCTACTGACCTGTCAAAGAGACTGCACTTTCTAGTTTTGCTCGTTTTGTCCCGAGCACATGTTGTGCCCTCTTTTTGCTCATATCTTGGCAGGAAGTTGGGTCACGCCATGTGCCAATTAGGGAACAACGGTACTGTAGTTGAAGTCTTCTAAGCTCAGTTGGAAGAAGTCTGAGCGTGGGTCATCCGCTGTAGCAGTAAGTGCTTCTGCCGCCTGTTTCATAGCACTTTTTAACTAGTCCACAGTTCAAAGGAAGCAATGATGAGAAGAGAATTTTTGTGATCTTATTGAAGAAAAGACAAGAGATGTTTTTCTCATCCTAGCGGTCTAAAACTAAAGTACTTTGGGCGTTCAAAGGAAGGCAAACCATCTTGATCTAGTGGAATAAAAATAAATCAGGGTTCCATTTCTTTCATTTGATCACATGGCTTTAAAATCACCTTTTAAAAACTAAAATGAGCTTTGATACAGCAGCGCCTGTCTTCTCATAGCTTACCTGAAACAAATCTGTCTCTGGTCGATTACACCTGCCTTCAGAATCAATCCAATTGCACACGAACTCTAATTGTCAAGAACGACTTTAAAGAAAATAAATGTTGTAAAAAAAGTTGTCTGAGTGAACATGTCATTTAATCTGTGTGATATTTCTATTAAACAAAGTCATAAAAGTAACACCTGGCGTACTACGACAATTTCACATAGAACTTTTTTTATTAGAGTTTTAGAAGTCTACAAAGATTTATTTTTTCAGATGCAATGAAAAAATTGCAGCATTTTGAGAAGATTACTACACTACTTTTACATTTTTTGTATAAAAAGTACCAAAATACACATAACATACTTACTCTGCAAACTTTGTATTTATTGCAGCCAATTTTGATCAACCTCTTTACAGAAATGTTATTACATTTTGTCAGTTTGCTTGTTTTTAGTAGAGATTTTGGTCTACAGCAGTAGCTCAGGTGGTAGAGCGGGTTGCCTCATGATCGGAGGGTCATGGGTTCGATTCCAGCTCCCGCCAGGGGTATCCTGCTGTTGTGTCCTTGGGCAAGACACTTCACCCAACTTGCCTTTGTTAGTGGTGGTCAGAGGGGCCGACGGCACCAAATGGCAGCCTCGCCTCTGTCAGACCTCCCCAGGGCGGCTGTGGCTACAAGTAGCTTACCATCACTAGCAGTGTGTGAGTGTGTGAAAGCGTCTTTGGGTGTCTAGAAAAGCGCTATATAAGTTCAATGCATTATTATTATTAATATTGTTGGCCAATTTTGGTGTTAAAATGTGATTTCAGATATCATATTGGTTTTTATTGTATTAGATACCATTCACACATCAAACTCTTCAGCTAATTCTCCTCTCACTCAAAATGTTAAAATATGATGGATCTGAGGTTAGTTTCTGAGTTATTATTGTCTGTTTGGCAAAACTTGTGAAAAAGCAAAAAATTTGCCCAGCATAGTTAGCCTGGCAAACCATCCTACATTATGCAAATATGTAGGCCACAATTGACAGACAGAGCTCTGTCATGGGACATATTCTTCCAAAATGTCTCCGCACACAATTGGATGGTGCAAGGACCAATCAGAGCAATGAACATCGCTGCGGAAATCAGTCAACGGGGGAATCCAACATCCCCCGTCGAAGAAGAATCAGATGATGCAAATACACTTTTTTTCAAAATAAAGGACTCAAGTACCTCTGTCTGAGTCCTGGACAAATTGTCCAAAGTTGATGCCAAAGCCGTTCCTGAGCCAATCTTTGTAGTTTTTCTCTGTCACATCTCTGGTGCCAACCCTGCACAACATCTCTCTACAATCATGAAGTGTTGTGACTGGCCAGAACTACAATTGCTTGGACCAATGGTGAACCTGCTGAGGCTACAATGGAGCATGCCTGACCCCTTCTTTCCGCTGGCCGTGAAAGTGGTCACAAAACTTAATAGCAGCATTTTACCTGCAAGCTCAATCTCAACCGGGAGCTAGTCTGACGCGAAATGGGCGCAAAAGCATTCCACGCAGCTGATCCCACGAGGGCGCAAAATCCCGGGAGAATTACAACACCACATGTGATTTCAGAAGTCCACACAATAATAAGCAAGGAGAAAGACAGCTGGATGTATCAAAAACGGACTGTGGTTTATTTTCTGTTCTGTTTACATTAGCTATGTGGGTTTTATGTTTATTTATTCAGCAGACGCTTTTATCCAAAGCGACATACAATTTTTAACCTATAGGGCATGTTGTGATCTGTGGGGGAAACCGGAGTACCCGGAGGAAACCCACTCATGCATGGGGAGAACATGCAACTCCACGCTGAAGGCCGCAGCCGAGTTTTGAACCTGCAACCTTTTTGCTGCGAGGAAACAGTGCTAACAACTGCGCCACCAAGCAGCCCATTTTAACAGGAAATTATGTGCCTTTACCTGAATGTGACATTTATTTAGAAAGTTTCTGAATGTTTTACACTGCTTTTGTGTTTTACTTCCTGTCTGGTGCGATCTAAACTTCGGATTCTGAGGTGTTTTGGACACATAGCACGTAAAAAATGGACTCAAAACATAATGATAGCGTGCCAAAACATTACACTTTGCTACTGGTAGAAAGGAAACTCATCCGCTATAATGGCGGATAATTCACATGTAGTACCTTTTGTGGCTGTTTCGTGATGCTTTCAGGTGTAGGGGAAAGAAAAGGTGAACCTACCTGCAGAGCCAAATCTTTTGCTGCTACGGTTTGTCTAGATTTCTAGGCAACTGTGCAGTTGGAGTTTGCCAGAATTATCTCAGGGAGAATGTGATTCAGCTGCTGTTGGAGATAAAATAAATGTGGTCCTTTTTTTCCATTGCATTAAATAAACCGAAGTTGTCACTATTTGCATGAATAAAGTTCGAATTTCTACGGTAAATTGATAATGACCCACCGAGATCACACAAATGTCGAGTAATGTTCAGAAACACTAAACGTATAAAATCAGGTTTTGCTTGAAGCCTTTTTATGGGTCTGAGAATCAAGTAGTGACGTTTTTTTCTGAGGCCCAACCTCTTTGTCCTTGACAGGTTACCCACGGTGAATGAAAGTGAACACAGGAGGATACTGATGACCTTAAAAACGAGGAACATATAAAAAATGTGCTAATGAGCAAGCAACCACAGAGAAAATAGTGCCATCAAAAACTCCCAACCTTTTTGCACTTCAAAATGGGTCCATTTGCCCCGCTTTGAAAAATAACAACAACTGTGCTGAAGTCAAAACATCTGTCACAAGTCATAATTGGGTTTATTAGACATCTCATCCAGAGTTCCCTATTACAGGCCTCAATAATTAACTGCTCTTGAAATTAAATGTATCTTCTCATCAGGCTTTAATTAAATACGGCTCTTGTTCTTGATTGGAAATTCCAATCTAAGGGAGAGGTTTGGACTCCAACGTGTTTACTTGTGGTGTTGCAGGCGATGGTCTGAGTTTTGCAGCGGATAATTGCATAGTTTGATTAGAAGATGTCAGGCTGATGGACCTCTCTGGCTGTTCGCCAGGTTGCAAAAGCAAGAGAAGAAACTATCTGCTCCAACCACCAAGCCACACAGCTGACGCCAAAACCAAGTCAAACTCAAATTGTCACTAATGCGAAACAGCTAATCCATAGATAATCACCACAAGTAGCAACCCATTGATTCTTATTTAGATCCACAACTGTTTTGAATTACAAATGAAAAGCTGCAAAAAGCTGCAGTGACAAAAAATGAATAATCAGATTTCACTTCGTTTGGCCTCAAGGTGAAGCAGAAACGACAGCTCTTTAAGACCGTTGCAGCCCAATGAATATCTATAACAAATGTCCTCAAAGAAGAATTAATTTATCTCCCCGATGAGAGCCACGCAGAGGGATCTGCCTGTTCTTTCCTCCATGCAAATGAACTGAAATGTTCTCATCGTTCCCCCATTTACATTCTTTCTTCATCTGTGTGAGACTTGAGTTCAATAGTGACACCATTTATATGTTAAGAAGGCATTCACCGTGAAACAGAAGCGCCGTTATAACATAAAATATATTAAATGCAAGTGCAAATGAACTCCTCTGTCTGAATATGGATCAACAGATCTGACAGAACTTTAATTATGAAAAACTTAAGCAGTTCACAACCTTGACACAGAAAATTATGTTTCAAATTAAAATTTATATAATAATTATAAAAAAAATTACAAACAACTTAATGTGTAACTTCACTGAATGACAGGCAATTTTTCTTTCTCTTATTAAGGAAATTGCCTAATAATGTCTTAAATGGTTTAAAAAAAAGTCTGAATCTCTTTTCTGTCTCATTTTTTTCTGATGACACGAAACCCCCTTGCAATGGGGGACAGTACATGCCTAAATCATTACAAGCCAGCTGTATTTTTGCGTTTGAGTAAGATCTTATATCAACGGATGGCCATTAGGGTCAAAAATCCCTGGGAGCGCAACCTCCAGCAAAACAACAAGCACATCAGACTCCCTTTCATCACTGGCAACAAGTGAAGAGGTAAATGTGTAAAACAACGGTTATGAATGGCAAACTTTTTACAACTATTTTTTACAAATCAGTAAATGCATTTTGCCCTCAACGGCTCCCGTAGAAGCAAACATTGCATCAAATACGGCATCGCCCAGAGACTTAAATCCGCTCCCATGTATTTTAGACCCGAATTTTAAGTTTATATGTTACAAAGATAATAATTTTCAACAACTGGGGATCATTTAATTCCTTTTTAACAACATTTCGATGGATATTTCCAGATATTAACTGTAAAAACTACACATTGTCTCTTTGAAGCCTGGACCACATTGTGCATTGTTGCACAGGACTACTCGCACTGTGAGGACTCCAGAAATGTGGCACATTGTACGATCCAAGGTTTCAGTGAGCCAAACAATGCGACACTTTGCTCTAGCCGGACACGCAACGTCAGGAGTGCACCCTCCGAAATGCATATGCCATTAAAAGCCGACAGCTAACTAAAACAGCTATGCTGAAAAGAGGGGGAAAAAACGCCACCATTAGCACTTCCTTGTAGATTTCGAACTCCAGAAAAGGAGTGGTCTACATGTAGCTTCCACTGTTGCTAATGTTGCAAATTCTACTCTCGTATTATACTCCCACCACTAGTTGTTTGTGTCAATCCCCAGGTGTGTTTTCATTGGTCGACTGCAGACGAGGGTCGTAGGTTTTACAGCAGTGCTTGAAAACTGCTGGAGGCTGACTGTGGTCATTCTCAATAAGCTGTCGTAGAGCCGGTCACGCTGGACAGCCACAGATTTGAAAGTCACTCTCACGTTCACCGTTTTTAGTCACGATTCTGTTCACGCCAACGGACTTGACTAGGACTGCCGAAAAACGCACAGTGTAGTCCTGGCTTAAAAAAAACTAAACAATCTACACATTTTTCAAACCTGTTCAAAATCCCAAATGAAAAGAGGAAGAGGTCCTTGCAAATGTTTTGAGACTTGTTGACAAGAGTCTTTCACACACCAAAAAATAAAAATATCCAAAAGTAGATTTGACTTCCACACGGAGCATTAAGTTGGAAAGCCTCTCAGCGTACCGGAATGTTTAGTAGTGAACTGTGCATAACCATAAATCTTTGAAATCACCTTTAATAGAAGGTGAATGGGCACGTCTCCTCTCACATGAAGTTGTAGATCTAACCCTAAACATCACTGCTTCCACACTTCTCTTTATTTTAAGTGACCAAACTGATGCTGATGTTACAGCTACATTAAATCTAGAAAATAATTTCTAGCATGTGTACTTGTTATGCTTTCACAAATTGCTCTGAGCTGAAATGTGAAAAATAGTTTATATGGGGAGATAATTTTAGAAGAAATATGATTTTCAACAAACAGAACTTTTTAAATTACCAGCAGATCAACAGGTTGCTTAAAAACATGAACTCTACTGTAGCCAACATGGCTGAACACTCAACTAATACATCAAAACACACATTTTATATGAACTCGGTGTCAGGGAAGCAGATCAATATGTACTTTAAAAGATGAAGGGATGATGAGTAAACAGATGAACTCTTCATCATTTTAGATTTCTCAATTTCAAATTTTTGGGTGTTTGGCTTTCCAAAAAACTCCAGCCTAGCGCGCACACACACAAACACACACACACACACACGCGCGCGCGCGCGCACACACACACACACACACACACACACACACACACACACACACACACACACACACACACACACACACACACACACACACACACACACACACACACACACAAATCAGAGACCGTGTGCTCAAATATGAATATCAATCCCTTGGAGGATGAAAGCAGACAAATTGAGCAGAACTGATTTAATAGCATAACTTAGTTGATGCTCCTCATCCAGCTGGGACCTGGGAGAGCTGGTCAATCACTTTCTGTAAGATGAATATTCTAAATGTGCAGTCCTCTCCTGTGCGATGGCTGATGTCTTTTTAATCTATTTCCTATCTAGCCTACTCACAAGAGCGGGACTCTGGGTTAACCCCCCCTGCAGATCCGACAAACCAAATCTATGAATGATAATGTTTCTTTCCTGACGAGTTGTGCGAGAGGGGAGTCAATCTGAGTCCCAATATATCCAAGCTCATAAAGTGCTGGGAAGAGCTTTTGCACTATTAAAATGGATGAAAGAAGGGACACAAGATGCCTGCATTCCCGTTTGGCACAGGGGTGGTGGTATGGGGGTGTCTCTGTAAACGTGTGGGAGCGTTAACAGTGACTCACCAATGAAGTAGGCTAATAAGAGCAGCAGTGTTACTGAGACGAGGATGGCACTGAGAGCAGCACATTTCCAGTTGCAGTGCTTGTAGGGTTTCTTCAAGCTGAAGGCAGGCCGAGAGAAGGTGTTTCGAGGTAAAGGGCGTGGAGGAGGTGAGTACACTGTGCTGGAGGTCAAAGGGTACCCCGGGGAAGTTGTGCAATACATTGGCGATGTACCACCTGGTTTGAACAGGAAATGCCTGAAAAAACAGAATGTTCTTGTAAGCTTCACAAAAAACAGTAATTAGTCATCAGTGGCTCAGGTTTAGGCCAGTTTCTCACCAGGCTATGACCGTTAGGGACCAATTGGAGATTAGTTGGGAAATGTTTGGGGGGCGCTTAGTTCAATCGATGCACACATTTCTGCAGCACTGTTACCACTCATGTTGGGTTTTGTAGGATTAGCACCAATAGCTTCATTGTCTTTACGAGCACTAACAGGGTTAGCATTGATCTTAAGCAACAACTCTTAAACGTCTTAGATGAGACAGCTTATTTACAAAGCCGAATACCATTAATAGATTAAAAATCTGTGTATTTACAATTTTTTTGAAAAGGTTGATGCAAACTTTCAATGGGAATCACCCTCAACTAGTGTGTACATTATTTTTGTCAGCTGTTTATTTACTGGACTGGGTCACCTTTGGTGACACCAATAAATAGCAACACTCATGCAACTTTCTTGTAGCCATTTAAGTCCAAAAATGTTGTAGTTATGTCTTTTGTTGGCAATTTACCCTAATTGCATCCATATTTTATTTTATTTGCCCTCTCAGATTTTGGAAACTAGCTTGAGAAGCAATTGAGAAAAAAATCAAGAGTTCAATGCATCTAAGAATATTCTGAGAAAACATTTTTCTTGCAAATTGTCAAAACATGTTAAAAATTTTGCAACACAAAAGTGAGGCCCTGCAGCTTACGCAAGGAAATTGAGAATTTTCTGGACCGTTTTGAGACATTTCTGAGACTGGTCACCAGCAGTCCTAACCCAGTGAGACCGGAGCTTTATCCAACAATACTGTCCATCAGCTTTATGTACATTTATTCCAAAAACACATTCAATACTGTTAACACACATCATGCTTCTGACAGAAAAATAAACACACTACGTTATGCTAATAGTTAACAAACCAAAAAAATGTGAATTAACACAATACCAAGTTTCCAGGACTATTTTTTACACATTCATGTCAGTGCAGAAAGAGTAACACTAGTGGTGTCAGGGCTGTCCAGAGGGGAGGTAAAGCATATAAGAGTGTGGGACGTGAGAAAGAGAATTATTCGCCCTTGAAGAGCATGGTCGGCTATCTCAGAAAACATGTGTAGCAATACACCTCATGATCAGCCCATCAGAGGGTCTGTGACAGGAGAACTATTGTCAAGGCCATTTCAGTGACAAGTTTACAAGATGCTCCCGAGCGACAGTGACATGAATGTGATGGAATGCCATTCTGCAATATATGACGCGGAAAGTCACAGAGACTATACTTTACTTGGAAAAATCAAGTCGAATCACTGACATTTCATTTTATTCCGCCGCTTCACAAAGCAGTCATGTTTATCATTAATCAAAGGCAAAAACAGCCCAACAGTGTGACTTTATGCAAAACAGGTCATCTGTTTGAAGGGACAAAATACAGCAAAGATTCTAGGACATCAGGAGACGCGTGGTGACAGCTGACTGTGGTAAAATATGGAGAGAGGGGGTTGTGAGGGACAAACGGCACAGGCGTTTGTGTTTGCATGGCAAAGCAGATTCTGACAGTGGTCGGAGCCAGATAGCAAGCATGCAACATACCCGTCGTTGTACGAGGCATCGTGGCGCGCTGATGCCAGAATGTCCATCTCAATGAGGTTGTCCTGCAAAGTCTCTAGGAATGTCTGCTTTGCTATGTTTCTACACACAGGTGGAGAGATGGATATGAAGCCGGTGTGAGACACGCATGCAAAAATCATACATCAAACGATCACCGAGCAACAGCGACTGACAAATGGACAACACGATGGATGACGTGGGACAAATAAACCAAGGCCCTTATGGAACTACTTCTACAGAAAAGTGAGACAAGTAACAGCTTTCTCTCTCGCTCGCCTCTTTTGTACACTACCATACCTGGTTTTGTACGAGCCCTGCCCCTCTCTGCAAGCGTCTTGTTCTTCTCTGTTAAACATTAGAGTATTCTGGCTCCTTTGAGGTTGTGATTGGGAGAAAACAATGCATCAATCACAGATAAAAAAGCTCAAACTCTGTTTAAAAATAATCTTAATATCGTTTTACAAATGAATCTGTCACTTTGGTTTCAGGAACATTACCCAAATTAGTCATTAATTATAACTTTTTCTCCCCTTTAATGGCTGCAGCACTGTAAAAAAAAACACTTTTTCTGCTTGTGTCAAAGTATCTAAATGTTCATGTCTCATTTATCCCATAATGCACTTCCCCTAATGAGAGCTCTGTTCCATAAGGAAGTATTGCTCCAATGCAATGGAGAAATGAACTGTCCACATGCAACGAGAAGGCTCAACACATTCAGTGGTCCAAGAGAAAAGGCTTGATTTTTGAGCCGCGCCCTACCGAGACCAGCAGTGAAGTTTCTTTGGTTTCAGTTTTGGGTAAGAAAACAGCTTTTAATGAAGAAAAAAGAAAGAGATGCTTGGCAGAAACACAAAATAAAAACGGTTTCAAAGAGCTTTTCAACATCTGGACTCTCTCTAGTGACAGAGCTGGATGGGATAATGGAAGCGTTCATTGGAGCAGTTTAATTCCACAAAAGTGATATAAAATAGCCAACGTTGTACTATTTAACAAGGTAAAAGTGAAATTTGATACTCCAAGGTCTGTGTGGATATATCTAATGATTTTAGTAGTATTACTTTAGAAGTTGATGTTTTTTAAAGCGCTGGATTGTAGAAACTCTGGTTTCAGCAGAACTATTTCCTCCCCCTTGCCATCTGTCTTTTGGCTCCACAGGGAATACCTGTGCAGGATTAACTGGAGCTGCATGATGTGTAATCATTCGTTATACATTATAGTGTCCCGCCAGCTGAAATTGACTCATTTTCCTGTTGACTGAACCGTCTCAGGAAATCTGAAGGAAGAGACAATAAGTCTGTTCATGGCTGCTTTTTTACAGTAAAGTAAAATCAGCTATTGGGGATTTTCCTGCAAAACAATATTTTGACAAATTGCATGATGTGTCATTTTTAGCAATATAATTGTAGTTCTCACATATGCGATACAAAATTAATGGTACCAATGTGGACTATTTGATGAACCCAAGTGGGGTAGACCGACATGTAGGGCCAATATTTATCGTGATTTATGCATCGGCATCGGCCGATATTTAGTAAAGCTGATTTAAAATCAGGCACATCATTGGGGCAGCCCAGTGATGTTGCAGAATTTAATTTAAATGTAAATTTATGTTCACTAATAACATCTGCATAATAAATACTCTAAATTAACGTTTTAGGTGTCTGACTTTAACACTGAGCAGGGCACAAAGTTAAGATTTAACAGTTCATTAAATTCAAAGTTCAAAACAGATTCAGCTTCAGAAATGTTGTGCATCTACTGATGTTATTAGTGACATTTTATCATAAAAATAAGGTGGGAATGTCTGGATATTGACCATGAAAATTGGCAATACATTTCAGCCATCGGCTGACCACGTCTCCTACATATTGGCATTGGGAAATCGGTCGACCTCTACACTCAGTCACATTTTTTTAGAATTGAGATTTTAATATATTTATTTTGAACATGCATCAAAGGATTAATATAGTACTGAAAAATGTTTATGCTCTAAATCGGTGCAGTGTGCAGTCGGTCAATGTAAAACGGGTTTTCTTGTTCACGACGTGTTCACTCAAAGTAAGGGGCAATGGAGGTTTTTGACGTGGCAAAAAGAAGTGAAAAATGCCCACACACCTCAGCCTTTATCGCCGTCTCTGGTTCCTGAATCTGAGCTTACCTAGCGAGATCAAATCTTTCTGAACTGTACTTTGCTAACAGCTTGACAAAATGGTCGTCAATCACTGTTCAGTTAATATTTTCCTGCAGGAAAGTTACAACCGAGAAGAGACAGCCTGCCAGCTTTTATACCTGCACTTGTACTCTGGAGTTTTTTTAATTAAATTATTTAAGTTAAGTTTACCTGGCTGCCTCCTGGATTTATCCACATTTGGGTCCTCACATCTACAGCTCTTTAAAGTGGTACTTCAGTGAAAAACTACTTGATTATTTCAGATTATAATGAGTCACTCTGATTTTTTTATTTATTTGTTTTTTTTCATGCAGGCAGAACATGAAAATGGTCTCCCACCTCTATTTCCTGCATTAGCTTCTGATAGAAAGCAGACTGTGAAACTCTAGGATTTGGAAAGCCAGGAAACTGTAGAGATTGTCTCCACCTGTAGAAGCTAACTGTTAGCATTAGCAGCTCCACAATACGGCAAAATCCCTTCAGGTGTGTGTTGTTTGCAAAGCAGAGTTGTGTTGCTGTTAGCCAATCAGAGGTGAGATGTCAAATTCAGGAAATAAGGCTCCAAATGTTGTGATGTGTTCTCTGACCTGGCTCTCTTCTTGTTCCTGAAACTCATGCAAATGTGTTAAAATATGAGGGAAAATACCGCTTTTGATGTATTTATTCACAAAACATATTTTAAAAGAGCAGGAAAAAGCTCATTGTGTCTGATTTACATGGTCCAGGGTGCTTCAAAAATATACTGTAATTACTTTAGATTAATATATAAATATAATTGTAGAACAACTTTGTATTTTAACCACAAAATCTTATTTTCTAAAGTAAATTTCATTAACTACTTCAGTCATCAAGCTTTTTCTTTACTATCCTTGTTGGTAACCTGGTGATGGTTAAACATTGGATTATCCATGAAGTTTTCATGTTCCTAATTAAAGCAAAATAGACTAATTTAGTCCTGGTATTTTACAATTTAAACTACCTGCTGGAAAAAATACCACCAGACTTTCCCTCAGGCCTAGTCCACACGTAGCCGGGGTTTTTAAAAAATGAATATCCGCCCCTCCAAAAACGTGCATCCACACCACCGCGTTTTAAAAACAAACTCTGTCCACACGTACCCGGATAAATACGTTGTTAAGGACATGCCAGACCTGCAGGCGGCAGTACTTCCCCCGTTCTTAACCTCGTCCTTCGTCTGTGGTCTTCCGCAAGGAGCAGTAATTCCGCTTGCAAAAACAAACAAGCAAAAAGTGCTTGGACAATTGATGGATCGGGTAGTGACAGAGTGCAGCTCTGAGGGCTTCCATGGTGCCGGCTAGTGTAAACACAGGTCGCACACGTGATGTCAGCATTTTTTTGTTGCGGAAAGTGACGTTGCGGACCTTAAAACTCCGGTTTTGTCTGTCCACACGCAGACACCCAAAACGGAGAAAACGCAGATCTTCACTTTGGCCGGAGTTTTTAAAAAGATCCGTTTTCATGTGAAAAAACTCCGTTTTCGTGTGGATGACAGGCCAAAACGTAGAAAAATATCTACGTTTTGGCAGATCCCCGGCTACGTGTGGACAGGGCCTTAGTTACAATAATACTTGACAAATCTCCTTCACACAAGAGCCTCCTATTGAGAAATGTGCTAGAGAAGTGATGTTGATTAATATGAAATATGTGAAGCTGATACCTGAAGTGGAGCAGCAATGGAGCCTGGATGTAATTTAGCATTTTCTAACCTGATTATAATTATGCTGCCGTTTAAACTCAATAATTCCACTTTTGATGGCTAATATTAGCCAAACAGCCAAAATCAACACTTTTCTCTTGTTTGCCACAAGAATCATGTTTCTTTAAGACGTTGGGCCTTTGCTCCAAGCCGAATAATTTTCCATTTGCTTTTAAGTAGCACCGTGGAATAATGTGGAGCAGACGACGTGACAAGCTGAGTTCAATGACAGAAGCTTCATTCTCATAAAAGGCACTTGCACTTTGGTAAAGACTTCCACGGTAGCTACCTTGTTTCCAGAGGGATGTTGCTGTTGAGCAGCCAGTTGTCCTGAGCGCTGCCAGAGTCTGGAGCACTGGCAGGACCCTCGGGGGGAGCAGAACTGTCTGTGGGTGCCGGACTCGCGTTGCTCCGAGGAGTGTAGTTGCTCCTGTTCAGGGAATTAATAGAGGCTGCATGGTGCTGATGATTGGGGGAGTGAGAGTGGGAAAGGGGTAAAGGGGGCGTCCGCAGCCGGGTGTGGTTCTGAAAGACTCCGTCTGGAAGCAAAAACAGAACACAAATTACTTAGAAAAATGTATTTCATGAGACAAATGCATCCATCTCCCACTGCTTATCCGAGGTTGATGTGTAAATGCAACAGGTTTGGGTCTCGTCCCAATGGACCGTGCCGTGAAACGTTCCAAAGGAAGCATGTCAGAACAACCTCTGCTAACTCGTTTTTAAGTAGAGGAAGCAGCAGCTCTACCCAGAGTTCCTCTGATGACCTCACCCCTCACCTCACCTCTGAGGCTGGGTGCAACCACTGTATGAAGGAAGCCCTTTTCAGCCACTTTTCTATCTGGGATCTTGTTAAAAAAAATAAAAAATAAATGAAGTTGGTCTTAAATAAAAAACTGTGCAGAATAATGAATTTTTGTTTGAGCTACTTTTATATAGTGATGAAAATCTGCTATAAAAACATTCATGGGGTCATTTTTTAGAATGTTCTTTGAAAAAGGTAAAAGTTATTTTTAACAGTAATGCATTACGTTTTGATATAAGCAATCAATACCATTTGAATAAGTAACTGTAACTAGTTACTTTTTTCAATAACAAGCCCAACTCTGCTAATGACTAGAAGACGGGGTTGAAATGAAAATGACTCCAGATTAGCTCCTTTTTACCTTGTCAGAATGGAACAAAGTCCACATTACTGGTCCAACTGTTGCTCCATCTCTACCATCAAACAAAGAACCACCAGGGCTCATAAACTTCTACCTGTGAGGCAGACTCACTCCCAACCCACATGGACCAGTCTACTGAGAACCATGGACTTGGACCTGGAGGAGCAGATTCTTCTCATTGAAGAAAATCTAATTTTCTTTCTGGTAAATAAAATGTGAAACTATACATCCAACTTAAATCTGGTAACATTAAAACAGTGTTTTGTCCAAATTTGGCCCCTGAACAGCACCACTAAGTGACTCGGTTTGGTGCGATTCTGTTGTGGTTCCTAGTGTACTGTACTAGAAAAGGCGAAGTTGGTGACTGTTGATCATTGACTGACTGACTGACTGACTAGAGGGTAGTCACTGGTTGTTCCAGAGATTTCTGCTAGCAGCTGTTTTCTGGTTCAGAGTCTGACTAAAAGCCAAAGACTGAGCTGATTATTCAAGATCAATCTTGTTTTTGTGTGACATACAGATCACCTGCTTTTGTAACCAGTAAAGATCCCTCACACTATGGCGAGCGCATAAATGTTTTTTCCACGGAGTTGGTGACGGTAAACCAACTACGCTGAAGTGAGTTGTGTACCGAGTCATTTTTGGTTGAATGGTGCTGTTGGAAAACCCACTTTCCATGATGCAGATGAGAGAAACCCGTTAGATGAACATGAAGTGAGATCATTACAGAAACGGCTGCAATGGCTGAACGTATCTATGTTATATGACTCAATATAATGAACTGGTACTTAAAAAAACAGGATAGACAGACTCATTTAGTTTAATTCCTAATCAAACTCTGAAAAATAATAAAACGTGGGTTTGACGGACGCAGACATGTTTTTACTAAACAAATTAACATCTAAACTACACAAGCTGACAAGCTTCCAAAGAAAAAAAGACCTCACATGAAACATTGGTCTCATTATTATTTCTCCACACTGATCTCTGCCACTGGGTGCTCTCTGCCTCCCACGGAGACGGCTGTAGGTTTACTGGGATCAGACGCTGGCTGCTGGGTAAACAAACGAGCCGGTCTCCTCCTGAAACTGACTAATTCTGAAAGGGCTTTTCTGGCCGCTCATTTAGTCTACAGAAGATTGTTTGAGCATTTCCTTTTCAGAAACGATGACTTGCTTCACGCTAAATTGCATTTTCGTCACTGCCGCAGCTCGTTAGAAGCAGATTTAAGAACCGTTTTCAGCTGGACGGCATTATCAGATCGTCTGCAGCGACGCCAGAGGTCGTGTTTCACCGTCCCAGAGCTTTTGGTTGGAAAATTAACTCTCTTTCTTTTGTCTTTTACAAACTCTATAGAAGAGATGAACCCTGTGGTCCTATACTCACCATTTGATACTCTGCACTTCACAAGATAGAGGACCAGTGTCTGTTTGCACTCTATATCCATTTATTTCCACGTCTGCTAAGCCATTCATCAATCAATGAGCTCCTGGCTTTACTCAGTGGCTTTTCTTTATAGCAGTGAGCCACCTTTATTTCACAGATATCCACAACACTAAATTGCCAATTTACAGCACAGAAAGCACACACAGAAGGCTTATTTTCTATAATCAACCCCTCCATTAAAGCAATACGCACTCATGCCAGTCAACAAGTTTAGACTCCTTTCAGATTTTTCGGGGTCAGGACCACGAGGCTCCTTCATCAACACGTGTCAAACATGGTGGGGTTGATAAACATTCGAGATGAATAACTGGCTGTGCAGAAAACGTGCTCGCATCAAGCTTCACTGCTTGTTAAGAGTGAACACAGAGGACTTTGTGTTATTAGGCAGGCAGTCTGCTAATGAACGGCTCAGCAAGAAAAAACAGAACAAAAATGAGACGAGCTGCACCTAGTCCTCCAGCCCGCCTCTGTCTATGAAGCTAACAAATGGTTTTTCTGTATTTTTCTATTCAAATCAAGCAAAGTAACAAAAAATTGAGGAAATGACCCTCATTCACATTTAATTTTGAGCATTTCTGATAAATAAGCACAAAAATTGAGCATTTCTGATAAATAAGCACAAAAATTCACGTGGAAAAGCAATGAAACTTGTGAAAACTGAATTCTGCATCTGAGAAGACAAATGGTTTGTTGCCGAGTGTCACCGTGGAGTTGAGACTCGCCACCATCCAGCTCAACAGCATGGCGGTGTGAGTTAAACCACACAGTTGGTGATGACCTCCCTCCTGCTCAGCTATGTAGCTGAGCCCAGAGGACGTTTATGAGGTTATGCTAATTAGATACTGAGACAGCGTGGATACACAGGGAAATATTTCACTAGGAATAATGCATTATTCCTGCAGAATGCGTTTACAAATAATTCCTGCAGCGTGGTGATTAAGCAAAAGCAGGACAACAAGGAATTTATTTATCCAACATGTTTTTATTCTGGGATGTTAATACTCTATATGTTTAAAGGTTTCAACAAAAAATACTCTTCAAAATGAATTATTACACAATCTGATTGTGTTTTTCTCTTATTCTCCAACATGCAGTCTGATACATTTAATTTTAATCAGTAATTGAGGCCAAAAGGTTGCATAATTAATTTAGAGCTATTTGGAAATTTTCATTCATTCATCTATTTGATTTAAAAAACTATATACAAAAGTATTTTATTAACTTGCCCAAACCAGTCTACATGTGTTTTGTGGATTGGGAGAAGGCGTTTGACTGCGTCCCTCGGGGTGCCCTGTGGGGGGTACTCCAGGAGTATGGGGTACCAGGCCCTCTGATATGGGCTGTTAGGTCCCTGTATGACCGGTGTCAGAGCTTGGTCTGCATTTCCGGCAGTAAAATTCCACTACCTCCGCTCCGCCCCCGCCTTCCGCAGCCGCTCGCTTCTGAACTCAATTTTTACTGTACCTGCTCTACAACGGCTCCACTCCGGTGCGGAGACCTGAGGTGGGCAAACAGGCATGCGCGGGATTTTCGAGATCTTGCGATACAGTCCGAGCAATTAACGCGGAAGTTAGATCCAAACACCCGTTGTGTGGGAGAAGCATCGAAATGAACTGTTTAATCTGCCATCATTTGTGTTGAGAGGTCAGCAGTGTTTGGATCAACAAAGTGTGACTACTTTGATAGTGGAAACTGTATTTATGGCTTATTTTTGTGCATTTAAAGTTCAACCGCCATTGATAGTTGTTAAAATTTGTTAAACCTGTGCATATGAAACAAAAAACGCTTTTTGTTTATCGATTTATTGTGAAATAACGGAAGTTGTGCTTGCTCCCTTTCCTGTTGGGCGGTTGTGATTTCTGTCCATTGACTGCGGAGGTGCTCTGGCGTCCGGCAAAAATAGAAACAATCCTATTTGTGCCGGATGGCGGGTGGCGCACTGCGCCGCACGGCCGCAGTAGTGGAACAGCTCTGATTGACTACAACGGGACCACTTTTGCTGCGGAGTTCGTGCCGGAGCGGAGCGGAGGTAGTGGAATTTTGGGGTAACCCCAAGATTCCACTACCTCCGCTCCGCCCTCGCCTTCAGCAGCCACTCGCTTCCGAACTCAATTTTTACTGGTACCAGCTCTACAACGGCTCCGCTCCGGTGCGGAGACTTGAGGTGCGCAAACAGGCATGCGCGGGATTTTCGAGATCTTGCGATACAGTCCGAGCAATAAACGCGGAAGTTAGATCCAAACACCCGTTGTGTGGGAGAAGCATCGAAATGAACTGTTTAATCTGCCATCATGTGTGTTGAGAGATCAGCAGTGGTTGGATCAACAAAGTGTGACTACTTTGATAGTAGAAACTGTATTTATGGCTTATTTTTGTGCATTTAAAGTTCAGACGCCATTGATAGTTGTTAAAAGTTGTTAAACCGGTGCATATGAAACAAAAAACGCTTTTTGTTTATCGATTTATTGTGAATTAACGGAAGTTGTGCTTGCTCCCTTTCCTGTTGGGCGGTTGTGATTTCTGTCCATTGACAGAGGAGGTGCTCCAGCGTCCGGCAAAAATAGAATCAATCCTATTTTTGCCGGATGGCGGAACGGCGTGCGCCGCCTGCCCGCAGTAGTGGAACAGCTCTGATTGACTACAACGGGACCGATTTTGCTGCGGAGTTCGTGCCAGAGCGGAGCGCAGCGGAGCGGTGGTAGTGGAATTTTGGGGTAAGTCGAGCTCGTTCCCAGTGAGAGTTGAACTCCGCCAAGGCTGCCCTTTGTCACCAATTCTGTTTATAACCTTTATGGACAGGACTTCTAGGTGCAGCCAAGGTGTGGAGGGCATCCGTTTTGGTGGCCTAAGGATCAGGTCTCTGCTTTTTGCAGATGATGTGGTCCTGTTGACTTCGTCAGAACGTGATCTTCAGCTGTCGCTGGAGC